TTACATACACACTAGTGTTCACAGTCACGTCTTCACTGCTGTTGTCTGGTAACGGCTTTCAGCTGTGGACGCTCTCCTTTCTCTGGGTTCCCGTGCCTCAGCTACCAGCTTCTAACAGCAGCAGCTCACAACAGCTCACCCGCAGCAGTCTTCTAACTGCTCACTCACTAACCAAATCGCTCCACTTCACTCATCTCAACTGAACTCAGAGGGAGAGAGAATAAGAAAGCGGTGAGTTAGTGAGACACACTAGATTTGGGGGAGGGGTAGTAAGAAACTATGTCTCCAGCTCTGAAGTTTCCCAGGCAGTGACCATCGCGAAACCTAACATTAGTCCTTGAATCTACTGTTGCTTTCTTTGTGAGAAAAAGTTTACATATTTGTTTCTACATATTCTTTCATATATGTGCATACTTTGGATGAACAGGAAAGAGTTGTTTATAACATCTCGGCACGGATCTCACAGAAGACACCGTTCCGGCCGTTCTCTTGTTGCATTACGCAGCTGTTCCACGGACACCATAGAGAACACCGCTTCCAAGTTAGTTCATTTTCCCGTGTTAGGAATCTGTCACCTAGGAACTGGCGTTGTTTACAGAGCCATTACTTAGCAACGGGTTCACATGCTACAAAATTATTTATACGGGATTTATGCTGTCAAGAGTTAACTAAGTCCAAGGCTCGCAATCTCTCTTTTGATTATATGGAATCTGAGGTTCTTACGAAGATGAATATTAAGATTGTGGTTTTCTTGGATGTGGATTCCGTATAGTCTGCAGGCAGTTACGGACATTTCGGAGTAACCTGTTGCTACCACATTCTCCCGGGAAAATGGAGGCAGTAGGCTTTTCAAGATGGTATTTACCAAACTACACGGCATCACCCCCCAAAAGACCGTAATCTTGTAGGCCTATTTGTTGCGCCAGAAGCTGAGTTGTTTCTTATGGCCACATCCGGCAAACTAAGCCAAGACATCCCATTGACATGTCACGCGCGACACAGGACCGCATGGCGGGCCTCACAAATTTACAGAAGGTACCAGCCGTAAGAAGAGACCTATAGTTACGGTCGAGTGGCTAACATTGCTGCAACGTCTTGTGTATGGTACCGGTTTCAATCCTTCGCCTGGACACCATCTACCCTGACTGCAATTTTCTTGGTTTTCCACAGTCCTTTCAAGCAAATAAGCAAAGGTAAACTTCACACCATGAAGACGTATTGTGGAATGGAGGTATAGCTCCACCATTTTTTTTCGTTAGTGGTGTGGAACTAAGTCCACTTGGTACTGCAGCCACTTCTGGCCTATTGTACCAGAGATGATACATGAGGGTTATTGTGGAGCGATTGGTGGAATGAAGATTGGCAGGGGAAACCGAAGTACTTGGAGAAAACCTGCCCCAGCGCCACTTTGTCCACCACAAATCCCACATGACCAGATGTAGATCTACATCGAACCACCTCCCAGTGTAGAACACACCGAACGTATACACACCCAGACAAGAAACATACGCCATATTGTATGATCATATAAAGATACATATCGTGGGAGTAGCATACCAGTATTTACGCACTAACAACTCGTACATCATAGAAACTTGTCTAAGGGCTCCACAACCGGGCTTACTACGTAGAAAGCTTCTACAAGACCTACAAACATGCCCAGTTTCTACACTGAAGCAGGGAAGCTTTAAATATTTAAGTTGGCATACACATTCTTAACTTACCATCGGAAATCGTTTAATATTTTCGGCTCGGCTCGACTCGGCTCGACTCGACACGACTAGACTCGACTCGACTCAACTCGGCACGGACAAACACCGCTTTCCTTACTGTTGCGTAACTTAGCAACCGACCGTTTATCAAGGGTCTGTCTTCGTGGTAACTCGTTCCACCTCCCGTTGCCCAGCAACGGTTAGACATGACACAATATTTAACATACTCTTAATATTTTTAGTAATATATTCAACACGTTATAAATTTTGATTTATGATATACCTTCATATTTGTCTTTTATCTTATGTATTTGCTACTTTAATTATAACACCAACTTGAGGCAAAAATTTATGTTAGTATATAATATGACGTATTGCACCGATCAGGATCCATATTGGTATTTCAATAACTGTACGTATTCCTGGGTATAACTGCCTGATGATGGTCTTATATGACTGAAACATGTAGCAGCAATAAAGATTGAAATTAAAACTGAGTATTTGTTGTGTTGACAGTAGACATAATTCCTATATATGTATGTGAGACAGTTTCTTCATACTTGCATTACTACGTTCAAAAACATGTACAACTTCTGAGTCTTCACCGATAAATAATTGTATTTTTAATTAAAAGCTTTGAAGTGATACCTTTTTATTTATTTTCACAAGCACTACTTATATCATTGCATTTTCCCTTTATTTGTGTTATTTTTGTCTTTTAAGGCTACCTTTCGCTTTACTAATTATAGCTTAATACGGATGACCTCTCCCACAAATTAATCAGGATTAGCGAGGGTTTGCTGTAATCCATCGGTTATATACATGCAGAGTCAAATATCTTGTGTGTGTGAATTGCTGTGAGTCTAACAGTACGTAGGTCTACACCATAATGCATGTCGCTTTCATATTTGGGCATATGAATATTCATAACATAGATACCGAGGGACGGTTTCTGTTTGTGCGTGTGTATTATGTACATGTTGCACCATTCTCAAACCTCAGTCAGTAGTGTTCATGCGCTTGCGCAGGTGATAGCTCTGTGTTAGGATTTTGTGCCGTCTGAAAGGTAAATATGTAACTTCATTGTTTTAAAGGAGAATGAATGAACAAGAAAAAGGTGAAAGGATGAAAGGGGTTGTTGGCTGAATATTTGAAATAAATGGTTCCCCATTGAATTCCAGAGGGCTCTTCCACTAGATTCCGTCACATAAATAGGTGCATCTGTAAACAGGAAAAGGATAACACGAGAATTGATGAGACTTGATACGAAGGTTAAGTGAAATGACGATGATTTAAATTTTTCTTTGAGCGAAATACATAACGCATGATAGGTAGGTGTTTCATATTCAAATCCACTTGGCTGATTTCGATGAAATTTTAGAGGTCTGGCCAAAATTTTTCCCCTGGAATTTAATTTTATTTTGACTTGAACCTCTACTTTAAACCAATCTCTCCGGAATTTAATTTTATTTTGACTTGAACCTCTACTTTAAACCAATCTTGCCGGAATTTAATTTTATTTTGACTTGAACCTCTACTTTAAACCAATCTCGAATAGAATTTTATCGAGTTATCCAAAAATGGGGCCTCTTGTAGGAAAAAAAATGCACGATTTAATAACATCTGAAACTTCTTTCTCAAACGTTTTTCGATAAGGTGAATATTTAATGATGTGCAAATGAAAATAGTTCTGATTTTGTGCACTGAAGTATCTTTATTGTGATTAGCTTTGCAACAGTATTTTTATATCGCAAATAATTGAACATAGGGGCCACTTATATACGTATACAGAATCGCAAACGGGCACATGTAAAACTTGTATACTCTCTTGCAGTAAACTTTTCCTATCTTTTTAGAAAGTTTATCATAACTGTGGTAACTAAACTTTGCCCATTTATCAAGAAGAGTGTTCCAAACACTGCAACACAAACCAAAATTCAAGACGAATTCATACAACAGTCACAGGCCTGTTATACTTTCGCCGGAATATATGTACCTAGTTTTAATCGCGTTGTTTTTTCAGGTGCACAATATTGACTTAAGTAGCGAATAATGCTTATGTTCTTCGTCACAGATAAACAGCATAGCTGGACCCAAGTAATGTAATTCGAGACATACTGCATGTATACATAGAAATCTACAATACCTATGTTTCTTGAAAAGTGACTTTAAGTACATGTTATGAATTTGAAATTTTTAGGTAAATATTGGACACAAACTTCTTCCTCTTGAAGAGTGACTTTTAGGAAATACAGTGCGTTCAATCAAGGAGGAAACTTCGCAACACCGCTGACCGGGCCCAACATTCCTCACAGATTGCTGCTGTAACTGCTGATAGCAGAATGAGTCATTAGCGCTGATAAACGCACGCAGTTACAGTTACAGCAGAAAACTGTGAGGAATATTGGGCCCGGTCAGCGGTGTTGCGAAGTTTCCTCCTTGATTGAACATTCTGTATTATAGACATTTCTGTTTCTAAATATTATAGCGTTGAAATTTTTAAGTAAATATGGGAGAGGAATCGATTGCTACTTTAGAGTGATATAAGGGAACCTTTAGAGCTGAAATTATGCAGTAGGTATGAGCCAGGAACTGGTTGCTTTTGAAGAGTGACTTTAAGGAAATTCTACAGGTTTGGAAGTTTGAAGTAAATATGGGACAGGTTTGGTCCTTCCTTTAGGAAATCATATAGCATGTAAACTTTGAAACATGTTGTTGCTGAGGGAATGTTATGATTTCTTTGTGTAGGATCATATGCTCCTTTCACTGTATCTTGCGAAACCCATAAAATAAGATCACTGTATGTATGTATGTATGTATGTATGTATGTATGTATGTATGTATGTATGTATGTATGTATGTATGTATGTATGTATGTATGTATGTATGTATGTATGTAAAGAGTATGCCACAAAAACCGGCCCTTGCACTGCGACCTTCAATGATCTATTGTGCTTCCCCTTGGATTAGCCCTTTATTAATCCTACACTTTTAATGAAATGTAGGACCCTGCTTATGGGGCGTCATAAAAGTCACTTGGTTCCATGAAGAACTGACCTAGGTGGCAAAATCTTAAGTAAGCTGTAGCCTCACAGTCTTACAGGATGTTGTGGCTGATTCATCTTCTTGTAGGCACCTTTCACAAGTTGGGTCATCTGTCAGTCCCAGTTTGAAAAGGTGTCCTTCCAGGTGACAGTGTCCGAAGATCACTGTAAGTTTTAAACCAGTGCTTTATAAATCCTTCAAATAACCAAGAGTGCTGATTGGCATATGCATCTTGTGTTTCAGGTTGCAGTTTAACCAAATCACGTGGCGATGGGACGCAGTGGTTACACGTGTGTGAGGCATGTCTTCTGCACTCTCAACGTCCTCATGTGGGTAAGTGGAGTACCCAGTTCTGTTCACCAGAACCGAGAGAATTGACTGACGCGTTAACGCTTATGATGTACGTTCGAGACATCCAGTATCCTGCTTTTCATGGGTTTCCTCACTCACTCCAAGTAAATGTCGGGATAGTGCCTCAAATTATGCTACACCTGCTTCCTTCAACACGGTTTCCAGTTCATCATGAAGTCATTCGATGCTGCGTGATCTAGGAAATTGGAAGCGTCATTAAGTAAATTAAAAATGCATCAAATTTAAGGTAAAATTTTCCGCTATGAATACGTTTGGGGATCTTGAAGTATAGCTCCACCCTTCTTGACTTCGGCACTAGATTAAACGAATGGTCAGCTTGAAGTTCCGATCGCTTTAACCAGGGGAAAAAGCCGCCGTACCTATTGAATAGGTGTCCGGTTGGGCCCCAGAGTCAGTCTGGACGTTGTGGCGTAGAAGACAATATATTTCCCCCTGCCGGAAATCGAACCCCAGTCATCCAGCCCCTAACCCGTCGCTACAACGACTGAGCTATGAACGCACAAACATAAATGACATTTACTAAGCAGTCTCTTTCGTTTCGGATCTTGTGTGTTTCCTAAAAGTGGTCCACTAGCCTCTGTACTCTTAGAAACCAACTATACTAACTAACCAACCAGCGAGCCAACCACCACTCTGGTACTTACTTATATGGAGCTGAGCCCTTCTTGAGGAGAAGCCAAATCTGCAGCTACTCAAGAATTTTCCAGCATTTTATGTAACCCGAAAGTTCATTACCGTGTTCACAAGATCCCTTCAGCGGTTCCTATCCTGACCCAGATCAATCCAATTCATACCATCCCATCCGATCTCTAAGATCCACCTACACCTTGATCTTCTCAGTGGTCTGTTTCCTTCAGGCTTTCCCACCAATATCCTATATACAACTCTGGTAGCAAAACTTATTAAACGTCTATGTATTTAGTCAGTCAGTAATGCAACAATCGTTAAAATATTCACCATTCAACACAAAAACCAATTTTAATGATTGTTGCATTATTGAAGAAGTAAATACATAGACGTTTAGTGAAGATGTATAACAGGAAACCTTGTTTCTTTCTGGCTACTGGCTTAGCTTATTGTTTTACCTTGAAGATGGAGGCAGCATGAAGTTCTGTCTAGCTACAAGACATTGTTATCACAGAAGGCAATAATCTTCATGTACAACGCCGGTCAGAAATTTGATTCTTAGCCATATTTACCTGTTACAAAGCTCGCTTTACGTAAATTTCGTCGCCGACCCCACCAGAGCCCGTCTTTGGATACGGTCATGACCTAGTTCCACCCACCTCTGATCCTCAAAATTATCTTTCATGATCCAGCGCAAAGTTATTCTCCCATCTCCTTCTGGATCTTCCGAGTGGACGTTTTCCGAGAGGTTTCCTGCATTCCAAACGCATACCCAGCCCATCGTAGTGACCTTTATGTTACCAGTCTAATCATATTATGTTAAGCTCAGTCAGTATAGTGACTTACGGGATGGATGACGGGGGTTGGACTCTATTCCTGGGAGGCGCAGAGACTTTTCACGTCTCCGGAGAGTCGAGGCTGGCTCCGTGGTCAACCCACCTCCTGCCCAGTTGTTACCGGAGACCGTTTTCTCTGGGATAAATGGGTAGGGAAATCTGATAATTCACTCTATCTAGCGCTGAGGTTAAGAATGGGTGGAGCTCCCATGCGTATTCACAGCACGGTGCTTAGGTATAATTTCAATTTTACGTTTATCTCTAAGGTTCAGGGTCTTTGTCGAACCGTTGAGAGATGCACAATTCATTTCTATTTTTGAACCCTGAGGTCCGTTACCGTATTCACAAGAGCTCGCCATTTTACCTGGTCCTGAAACACCTGAACCCAGTCTCCAGAAATAATTGATCTAACATTCGTTTTGTGACGTTAGAGGTTCTCAGCGGCAGTGACTATGAAGACAACTTTTGGAACGTGACATTTTTAGGAGTTTTACCGACGTTTCGGAGGCACATACTGCTTCCATCTTTAGGGTCGAAGTTTGAACAGGGCAAAGAAGCAGCACACAGTCTTGTGAACCTTCCGGTTACATATAACAATGGGGATTTCTTGACTAGCTGAGCATCTGTTATTTGCTCAAAAAAATCAGTAAGTTAGTTAATTAGTGCGAAACGGCACGTTACTGAACTTCGAAGCATGTGGTGACATTTGTTAACAGTATGGACTATAGGCTTTCAAACAAACAAACTCCATTTCTTGAGTCCGCAAGCGAACTAAACTGACCGAGCGATCTCCGCTTGTCGGCGAAGTTAGTGCCAACTTTAGCTGATAGAGGGTGTCGCGTGGTCAGCGCAACGACTCTCCACGGCCGTTAATTTCGTTTTTCTATACCAGAGCCGCTATTTCCTTGAAATAGCTCCTCAGTTATCCTCACGAGGCTGAGTGGACCCCGTTCCAGACCCAATACTTCTCAGAAAATCTGGTAGCACCGGGAACCGAACCCGGACCTCTGGATCTGTAGCTAGGAACTCTGACCACTAGATCACAGAGACGGTCACTATGGACTTTCACGGTGGTTTGGATTTTCGCACCGTGTGGATGTAAGCAGTGCTGTCGATATTTCGGAAGTGAATACTGCCTCCGTCTTCAAGTTCGATCCTGAATACGGAGACAGCATGTCCCTCCCTGCACATATCCGCAAGTTACAATGAGCCAAGGGTCGAAGAGATATCAATAGTTAACACTGTCCCAGAAGCAGTAGAACAGCTCACAATGTTTGTGGCTCGTACTGTCGCACGCTGGTCTCTGAGAGCAGACACACATTGTTCGCTGTGAGGATGAAGTGGGACAACCTGTTTCCAGACGTGCCCATACATGGCAAGACGCGGTGCACCCACCGGAGTATGGCTGAACTTCCGCCTACAGAATGCAGCCCGAAGTTAAATCAGACCCAAATACCTGCTTACCTGCCCGTAGCAACCAGAGACTGTTTCGCCATAGCTTACAAGAACGGCGATGTGAGAAAGAACTGCGGAGGGGGATATCTTAACAAAGAGGAAGTAACGGGAGGCTGGAGGAAATTACATAACGAAGACCGCCATGATTTGTGTTCTTAAGCAAGGGCGCCGGCAGTGGGGTAAGGGGGATGAGTCTTATAATGCTGAGACTCACGCTTCTAGCACGATGTTATTCTTTAATCATCTGAGAGGGTTGAGGCTGTTAGTCCGTTCCGCCATTAAACATCGCGCCATCTTCTTCTGGGCCTTTCTGGATCACGTCTTCTTAAAAAGAAAAAAGTAAAACTATCGCTGTAACAGGCCGTGGAGGCCCATAGAGTTGTAAGACGTCGAGACTCCCACATTTTCTAGACAATCGGCTCACAAATGGCGGTGAGGTTGTCAGTCTTACGCGCCGGCCGTCTTTTACCCCCCATGAAGATTCCCGATACTGATTTCTGTTAGATGCTGAGTCGACTCCAAGGCAATAGTGCTGCTGAAAGGATCAAGTCAATTGAAAAATCCAGTGACCTGATCGGGAATCGAACCCGCGAACTTCCGGCTTGTAGCAGAGTGCCTCAACCAACAACGCTACCTGCTGATAATATAAAAGCTGCTTGAGAGCTCTTTCTGATGGCAGCCTCTGTAGCCGTTCCAAATTCCTAGTTGTGAGCGTATTTCGTGGCTTCTTCCCTTGTCCCATAGAGCGTAACCTGCGCACATATCGTGGAAACAGCGTTATTGTTGCGTCCAGTCGTCTTTCATCTGTGGTTCTAAGGGTCCGTGATTCACTGCCGTACATCAAGCATAGCGGTGCGTTTCTTACGTTGTTTTGTGTCCCAAAGTAATTTTGTTTTTCCCCGCATATACTGATTTTTTTTTAAGTTTGTGATTTGTATATTCTTGAGCATTTAGTATTTATATTTAGAATCCTAAAGTATTTAAAATTTCAAAATTGTTTTATTATTTCCTCGTTTATTACTAATTTTGACATCACATCGTATTTCTCTGTAAGGGACATTGTTTTGAATTCTTTTGTGGAAATATTCAAGTTATAGGTTTTCGTTACTTTTTTTCAATAAATGAGCTACCTTTATAAGCCAGTCTTCTGTAATATAAATTATAATTTAATTGTCTGCGAAAAGTACTGTTCTTGATTTCCTTAAATGTCAGTTTGTAAGCAGATTTTCTCGTTTCCCCTCTCGCCCTTTGAAAAATCCCTCGGCTGTGATCATGCTCGTAACATTTCTGGTTGTTGAAGTAAGCTCTCACTAGGCCACGTTGCATGACGTCTAACGGTCCTGGTATTAGCCTGGAAAAACTTAGAAGAAACACTAAAATTTCAGGCACATTTGGAATCTTAATTGAGATTCGAACTGGGCACCTCCTGAACAAAAGTCAGAAGCGTTGCCGCTTGAACCAGCTCGCCCATTGAAGGATAATACTAAAATTGAGCATTATAGGTGTCTCAGGATCAGGTTCAGTGGTAGGGTTTATTTGAGCATTTTAATGAACCATGTTTCTTAAAAGCAGGAAATTCCAGCTTCTCAAGGATCTTCCTGCATAGGTCGTGCCCATACCTCAGGTGGTTAGTCACTTGTTTCCCGCCGTGGCAGCCTGGGTTCAGTTCCAGGTCCGGTAATGTGGAATTTATGGTGGGCAAAGTGGCATTCGGGCGTTTTCTTTTGGGTACCTAGGTTTCCCCTGCCAAATTTCATTAACATTTATCGCCTGAACGCAAGGGCACATTTAAAGGGGAGTAAGTGGGTCAGTCATTCTGGGGCCTTCACAAAACAGAAATAGAATCCACCAATTTTATTAACTTATTGTCCTCTATAAAATCACGAGAAGTTTGTATTTTTAGTTACGATAAAAAAAAATCAGAATAAAAGAATTGTCATAACCTATATTTTTTGTTACAGAGAGGGGTCTCCAAGTTTAGATTGCGATGGGGGCCTCCACAACTGTAAATCTGGCTCTGTCTGATTGTTTTTCAAATGAGGAGGTGCCTATTGAATTATCTGTTTCGTTTCAGCTGTGTGGCTGTGGGATCCTGGGCGTGGGGATCTGGCTTCGGCTGTCCTATGCAGGCTACGCCCAGCTCCTCCCGAAGTACAGCATGATCAGTGCTGACAGTATCTGCATTTCAGTGGGTGTTATCATCTTCATTGTGGCTTTCTTTGGATGTTGTGGCTCCTGGTTTCAGAGCAGATGCATGCTTATCACGGTGAGTTATCCTACAGCCTCATTCGCCTCGTGGATGCCAGTATTACTCCTCAGAGTAGAGAGGCACGAAGCTGACCGATCAACGATAACAGATAGAAATCTGATTCAGGAGGAAATTAAGAGGCGATTGAACTCGGGTAATGCTTGCTACCATTCAGTCCAGAACCTTTTGTGTTCTCGTCTGTTGTCCAAAAACATAAAAATTAGAATATACAAAACTATAATTTTGCCTGTGGTTCTGTATGGGTGTGAAACTTGGTCTCTGACATTAAGGGAGGAACATAGACTGAGGGTGTTTGAGAACAGGGTGTTGAGGATATTTGGACCGAAGAAAGATGAAGTCACAGGAGGTTGGAGAAAACTGCATAATGAGGAGGTTCATAACTTGTACTCTTCTCCAAGTATAATTAGAATGATCAAGTCAAGGAGGATGAGGTGGGCAGGTCATGTAGCACGAATGGGGGAGACGAGGAATGCGTATTGGATATTGGTGGGAAAGCCAGAAGGAAAGAGACCACAGGGAAGACCAAGGCGTAGGTGGGTGGACAATATTAGAATGGATCTTAGAGAGCTAGGATGGGATGGTATGGATTGGATAGATCTGGCTCAGGATAGGGGCCATGGAGGGCTCTTGTGAACACGGTGATGAACCTTCGGGTTCCATAAAATGCTGGGAAATTCTTGAGTAGCTGCAGAATTGGCGGCTCTTCAAGAAGGGCTCAGCTCCATGAGTAAGTAAGTACAGTATATAAAACGTAAAACATGTGATATTTGAACCTGAAAAAGAAACATTTATTACTCGACATATCTGGGGTTCTGGGGCCCCCCAGCCTTCTATCAAATGGGTTTTTGTTTTTTTTTTCCAGGGGTAAAGCGGCCGGGACGTGAGGCTGACCATTCACCTCCGACTAAGGCTGAAGTCAAGAATACATTGCTCTATACTTGCACTCCCCCATAGAACTTCATGGCATAGTGCTTGATTAGTTAAGCACAGACACAACTTTAACTTTTTGCCTCTCATACAGTTCTATATTTTGAGATAGTGGCTTGTCAATTTTTTTAGTTGCTTATTTAATGACACTGTCAGTATCAACACTATATGGGTTGCCCCAGGAGGAAAGATCAATATTCTGGGAGGTCACAATATCGGTCATTCTAGGCAAAGAAAGGATATATATACATGTATCCTATTCCAAACAGTTTCTGACATAGAGCCATTTCACTGTACAGTACACTGTACACTGTACAGATGAGCAACACGCCATGTCCTCACACCAGTTGCACCGAGATAGAGCTATTTCACTGTGCAGTACACTGTACACTGTACAACAATCAGCACGCCATGTCCTCACTCGAGTTGCACCGAGATAGAGCTATTTCACTGAGAACTACACTGTCCACTGTACAGAGAAGCAGTACGCCATGTCCTCACACGAGTTGCGAAGTACATAGATGTTGATGGTGGAATTTTCAAAAATGTATTATACTAGGTAAACTCTGCCAACTTTATCACTTGAACAATAAATACCGGTATTAGAAACAGTATATAATATCTCTCTCTTAACAACAATTCTGAAACTGTGCAGTGAAATACTTGTAACTCTATCTCAGAAACCGTTAGGGATAGAGCACATGTACATATACATTTTTTGCTTAGAATGACTGATGCTATAATCTCCAGAATATTGACCTTTCCTCTTGGGACACTCTGTATAGAATCAATGATAAGATGAGACATTAATGTGAAGCATTTGGTGGCATGAGCATTGGCAGGGGAAACTGAAGTATTTGGAAGAAACTCACATCAGTGCCAGTTTGTTCACCACAGATCCCAAACTCACTCGCCTGTGATAAGCCCAAAATAAAGAAAGAATTTTCTGCATTTCAGTACTTCAGTCTTGTCATCTTCATGTTTGTCGTGGAGTTCCTGTTTGCAACGCTTGCGTTTGTGTTCCGTGAGAACCTTGGGAGCACTCTACAGGAGGAACTGACTGAAGGCATTAGACTGCACTACAATACCACCGAGTCCAATAGCCTTCAGAACATCTGGAACCATATTCATAAGGAGGTATGACTGGAGCAGTTTAGCTTGATTCAAAAACTAGACAGAATACTGTATTTATTATGTTCATATCTTTTCTGCTCATTGTAGTGGTTATGGTTTTGAATAGGACATATGTAACCTCCCAGAATATTGACCTTTCCTCCTGGGGCACTCTGTATATACTGGACATGAGCACCTAGTGTGGAAGTTGACTCAAGCACTAATGCTTCTGAGCTGTATTCAGGAAGTGGCTGGTTCAGATCTCAAAGAGGACACTGAATTTTCTATGGTTTCCTGTGGCTTTCCTCAGTACCTCCAGGCATATGCTGGGTAGTACCTTAAATTACTCCGTGAGTACTGCTCTCCAGCCCCCACAATTAATTATCACCCAATCATTCAACGCTGCATGGCCTGAATTACTGACCGTATCCTTGGATATACTGCCCATGAACAAAAATAAAAATATTGGGACCTAATCCACAAGGGGATGAATCGACCACAACATGAAGTCAACAGTCATCTCCATCTAGGGTCAAGGTTAAGAATGAGTTTAGTTTTACCTTCACTTCTCCATACATCATTTTATCGTGGTGCAATTTGGTGTTACGTTTTGGTGGAATGGCTCTCTTGGAGCAGGTTCAGGGAGAGTTTTACTCCTAAGTGGAAGACAGTTGCAGAAAGTAAGAGAAGATTTTCATAATATTAGAGTCAATTTTACCGACCACACAACATATTTTTATTATTATTACACTATATGTTTCGACCTCAAGAGGTCATCCTCAGGTGTACGAACACAGCTGTATAATTACACGCAATGACATTCGTCTTTTCGCTTATTTGATCCTGTATCTTATCCAGGCCCACGCTCAATAATATATCAAGCTCCTCTCACAAAACAAGTTAAAATATTCTAAATGTCAAAATTTAAAATTTGTGAATCGAATTTCAATTCAGATAACTAGTTATGCTTTCACTTTCACTTATAAGTCACTTCCTACTTACGCTCATCACTGCGTCAAGTTCACTTTAACTAGTTTTAATTATATTATTGGTTAAAAAGTTCACGAATTAAAGTTCAATGTTATTATATTGATTGCACTTTTCACTTTTTGGAGGTCTCGCTGTTTTTCCGCGTCCTCTGATGTTGTTGGATCTGTTACGGTCTTTGTCGTGATGGCTACTCTAATATTAATATTAATACTCTAATATTACTCTAATGTTAATTAAATACACAACAGGATGCAAAAAACAATTAAAGATTTTCATATTTCATTGTGCTAACTATGAACATAGTGAAACATAACTTATACTTTCAGTTCCACTGCTGTGGGGTGACGAGTTATGAAGATTGGTACCTCATTGATGCTTGGCCAGGAAAGAGGAATGTACCAACCTCATGCTGCCTGCCAGAATTTGCAAACAGTACAGGTGATATACAAAGGCATATGTAGCTGTGTAATTAGGTACTACAGTCACTTTGCTATGGGTTAGAAGAGTGGAGAATCCCAAATGTTAGTATGACTGCATGGTCCTGCACTCAGACACCCCAACATAGCCACATCTATAATGACTTTAGACAGCACATGGTTTACACATATTTTGCTTGTTAGTTTGAAAATATCATTGTTATTTGTGTTTGCTTGTTGAAGATTCAGGCTTGTTGTGGTAAATGCAGTGTACTGCAGATGTCACATTGCATAGAGTTAGAAAATGTTGTATTTTTTTTTATACGTTCATCATATCAGAAAATATTTCAAAAAAAGTATTACGGGCCTTAATCAGATCTATATTTTCTGTTGCATGTAAGTAAGTTGTTGATACCTTGAATAATTTTTTTGGAGAATCAACACATATTTGTTTTGTGCATGTAAAATATGGCTTACATTGTAACGATATCAATAAGGATTACATTTCTGTAGGAACTTCTGAGGGAAATGATTAATATAAATAATCATCAAAATCCTTTAATTAGTTCCAAAAGTGGAATGGTAAATAGACAAGGAGATATCCCATCTGTGTGTTCATTTTATATGCTTTGTGCAAGGAAGACATAGCAGATCAAGCTCAGAAGGAAACAAACCAATGCAGCCTCCATAATGCTTAACTTAATTAGATGCATCCTGAGGGTTAAATATCCAGTGACTGTAAATATTTGTACTCTGGTTTTTTTTTCAGGGTGTGGATATGAAGGTAACCAGGACATGTGGTACCCCACGGGCTGTGCAGAGCAGGTGCAGATGTGGTTTGTGGAGAGACTGCACATTGTGGGCGTCGTCGGGCTTGTTGTAGCATTCATTCAAGTAAAATCTTTATTTCTGTAAAGCTCAATAATATTACATATAAATTAAATGTCCAATTGTGTTCTTGAAATATTTTTTGTTTTTTTTATAGTCACCAAATATTCTGGTTATAATTATAACATTTCTGTCATCCAAGAAATGTGAGGGGAAAATTTGAACCTATAAATTTCTCTAAATATTTTGCTTGTCTGATATATTACAGTATTGTCATAAGTATTTTTAATTTCAGCTATTTGGACTTATCTCATCGATGCTGCTGTTCTGCACTGTCCGACATAAGCGAACATCGCACACATACAAGTCATATGATCCAACCACATGACTACTGCGGGAGGGTGACGAATACTATCGTCGCTGCCAGCCCTTGTGAAGGTATTCTTACATCAGTGGAAGTACGGTTATAGTAAGGCAATAAATGAATTCAGGATTTTCAGAGGCAGTTATGAAACTGTTAACAAAATATTGAAAGGTATAAGAATGAATTTCCTTGTTATCATAAAGACTTTTCTGCATCACACAAGAGTACACTGCAGAAATCATCTAGATTAAATATTTATCCTCTAGTCTCTGTTAATATGAGCAAATACAGTGTGAATGTAATGACATGGTAAGGTTTTCAAGCATAATTAATTTGTAAGAATGATAGAAGCATGAATGGAGTATGAATCAAAAGAAATTATATAAAAGTTTACTCACATAGTAAATTTCAGTATGAGGTCCATCATTCTGCACATGTCTGATCATTATTTTAATTCTTAACCTCACCTCAGGAAGGCCATCAGAGTCGCATACACCAGTTCACTTCTGATACTTTTAAACATTGTCACATTCTGTACCACTTCTTCTACATGGTAAAGGGTAAAAGATTAGCATTACAGCCTGCTATAAGCCTTGGCCTTCTTCTGGCAGTATAACTCCAGTCTTTTGTAGTGTTTGGCACTGCCTGAAGGTTATTGCATGCCAGCCTCTTTACCTGCAGAGAAATCGTGTTCAGTACCCATCGGACAGGTCATGATAGTAAAGGAAGAATCACCTCCTCCACTGGAAATTGAATTTGGACGTTTAGGTCACACAGTTTTTAGCCTGGCCATTATTTTCATAATCCTGTAAATAAAAATCTAGAAGACTAAGGTATGAGGGCATTCTGAATTTAAAGGTACAGTACCAAATTACATTGACATATTTATTGCAAAAAAAAATTAACAGAGTTAAGAAACACTACATACTAATGCTTATTTTTCCATGTAGTCATCGTTAGCATTCAGACATTTATCCCATCGTTTTAAGAGTTTAAACATTCCTTCACAGTAATGTTCCTATCCAAGGGATGTGAAGTACTGTACAACTGTTTTTTGCAATGCGTTTTGGTCCTCAAATATTTTTCCTGATAAAAAGTTCTTAAATGGTCCCAAGAGGTAGAAATCTGATGGCGCTACATCAGGACTATGCAGGGGATGCCGCAGAACTTCCCACTTCTGCTTTTGCAAGCAGGTCACTGTCTGGGCTAAAGTGTGAGGTCATCCTCCATCGTGCGGAAGCCTCACTCCAGCGGTTAATCATCCTGGTCTCTTTTGTCTAATGGCTTCACACAGTTTTGAGAGTTTTGCAGTATTTTTAATTGAATATACCTGCCCTCTTTTAGACTACATGCATGTTTCTTTTGTATCTCATTTTCATACTCAAGTCTTACAGTTATCCGTGTGTTGTACTGGAAGATATAAATAACCTTCAGGGGCTGAAGCAAATATTTGCACTTTTTCTGGGCATTATTGACAGATTGAGGTGCAAACATTTGTCATGAAATATTTTAAAAATTTATTCTCATATCGTAGGCATTGTATTACCAAGCAGGTGAAATCCAGAGCTGTTACCACCTCGTAGCTCTGTGTGAGGGCTATGTCTGAGAAGTACCACCCACAGATAATATCTAGGTGCTTTAAGTGTAACTGTGTGCAGCATTTCAGATGGGAGAAATGACGTCTTGGTAGACACATCTGTCAGTCAACTTCAGGCAAGTGCATTGTATGTGACAAATTTGTTAGGAAATTTTTTAAGAATGATGAGAGTGAAAGAACATTGAAATTCTATTCTGATAAATTTCCATAATTTTGTTTTTATTATCATGANAAGAGTCTTAAATACTTGAGAAGTACTGATAAATGCAAGAATAAAAGAAGCAATTAAATAAATGTTAAAAATGCAGGATAATTATATCAGTTATGTAGGATAAACTTTAGAAATGTAAAATGTCAATGACAAGAAAAGTGTGTTCATGAAAAATTACTACAAGATTATTTTAGAGAATGGATCAGATGCGAGGACAGGTCAGAGATGGATATTATGACATTTTTAGGACATACAGAAGAATGAATTGTCATATGGAGAATAAGATGCAGAAAATTCTTAAAATAAGTACATTGGAGGATAAATTAATAACAGAATTAAATTGACACAATTTAGAAAGAATGAAGAGACATACTTAAAGAATATGTTTTGATGATGAAAATTAAAGGAAAATGCTGAAGAGGAAGACGGAAATAAAAATTTTAACAGTATGTTAGTCAAGAACCGATAAAAAAGGAAGAAAAAACACAGGAGGGAAATGAGGAAACAAAGCTTTTGGAAGATAGATGGAGAGGCTGGTTATCAGACAACCCGTGCAAAACTGGAAATTTAGAAAGAACAGAAGAGATGAACAAAATAATACTTCAAAACTACAACTACAATAAAGACAAGCATTAGTAAAAATAATACATTTTTTGTGAGAGATCTGAAAGAAATGGGACCCATGCAGTGTTTCATATGTCTGCTATTTTATAACGAATCGTTGCATTGACTGAAAGGGATGCTAAATATTCATATCATCATTTTATAGTACATCCCATGATTTTTGTTGAAGAGACCAAGGCAGTGATATATTGTATGTAAATAAGTTGTTATGTACACTTGCATACATTAAGACTGTGCATTTGTGCATCAGATACTATCATTAAAACTTTTTATGGGTTGTGTTAGTGTGTGGAAGATTGCAGCAGACTGTTGTTTTATGCATATAATTCACTGCTTTCAAACCATGTGTATGTCATATTCATTGGACATGAAAATATATTTTCTAGTAAGAAATAAGAGAAGTGACAAGTTTCGTTCTTAGACCTCACTTTTATGACACCAGTGGTACACAAACAAAACCTTTCTGAACCAGTGTGTTGTTACCACAATGGTTACACTAAGGCTGAGGTAGCATCCTGTTTGGGTACCCGTACTGCAGATACCTATGGTGGAGTCAGTCTGCACTTCATAGTTTTGTGTGTGTAAGAGGGTCTACTGTATTATATTACTATGTAATAAGTAAGGTTATGTTATGTTGTCTGTACATGTGTGAAATGTTTATTGTACAATATAGACATATATATATATATAAGATTATATAAAGGGACCATAACTGATAATATACAGAATTAATTAGGCATTTAGTTTAGGTTTAAACATTTTTAAACTGGAATAATATTACATTCCTTATGGATAGATCTGAACTTTCGATTAAAACTAAGAATGAAATTTTAAGTTCAGTTTCTCAAAGAAACTGCTGCTTGTATGTAACCATTTCTATGCCGGCTATGCTGCAGCTGTTGATAAATTTATGTGGTAATATATAGAAGGTGAATAATTAGCTTTAAATTTTGAGAAATTTTGGAACATACTTGTTTCATTCATCATATCAAATATAAACCAAATAGAAACCCGAAGGGGACTAGTTTTAAAATGAAATATGTTATGTATACTGTGGAAAGGATTAATAAGGATTTTAAGGACACAGAAGTCAGAGTTATCAAAGGCATGTCTATCCAAAACATAGTACATAATTGTTTCCAGTTTGGTTGGCGGGGAGGAATATGTGAGAATTGCTCTGTCACTTCATGTGTAGATTTGGGAAAAAATTCTAGAACTGAGATGAGAACAAGGATTCGCTCTACTAGAAAACTTATTTTCACAGTAGTCACAATTTGTAGCACTAGCTACTTCTTCCTTCTGATCCCTTCTAATATCCAACAGTGTCTCAGTGAAAAGTTTCTCAGATCATTGTTTAAAAAAAAATATTCTATGTAAATGGGGCAGAAATTGAGGGGGGGGGGGATTTTGTTGACAAGTTGATTTGTTCTAGTGTTGCCAAGCATTACACTTCTGATGGATCAGGTAGTTTGCATGCTAATGTTCAGAGTAAAAACAGTATTCAACAAATTTTGTGAAGTCTTAGAATAAAACATCAGCAAACAAATTAAGATTTTTCATCTCATTTTGGTTTCAGAATTTCGAGACTTGCATATGCCCACTTGATTTTCTCTTCAATGCAGATACCATATATGCTGCTTTCTAAGTGGATGGATTGTAAGGTTTTTGTATATAACTGCTAAATACAAGAGTTTGCTTTAAGAAGTTCAAGTCTAAACCAACTGATTACTATAATATTATAATAACAATAATTATTATTTTAGAACAGCCGGTATAGCAACTGGCTATGGGCTGGACGAATGAGGGGTCGGAGTTTGAGTTCCAGTAGGGTGAAGAATTTTCTCTTCTCCAAATCCAGATGGGCTCTGGGGCCCACCCAACCTCCTATCCAATGGGTACTGGGGGCTCTTTCCCCGGGGGTAAAGCGGCCGGATTGCGTGAAGCTGACCTCTCACTTCCAGCTAATTCCGAGGTAAAAAAAAATGTGGATCTATACATCCACTTCCCCATACCCCTTCATGACGTAGCGCTTAAATTCATCGAGCACAGGGACAACTTTACCTTTACCTGTTGTTTAAAATAATTTAAGTTCTACCCCTTCTCTTGTTTCTAAAATTTAGTCCTTAGATGCTAGATACAAATTGTGTCTGTTATATCAATGTAGGTTTGTGTCTTAAGGCACATTAAGAGGAATTAACAGGTATCATATACTCTGATATGACAGTTAAGTGTTTTCATAATTTTTTCAAATTGTATATATAGTAGCATAGAACATATTTCTGTTTATGAGCCAGGATAGCTCAATCAGTGAAGTGTCATGTTGTATGGCTGCAATTACATTCCAGATATCTACAGGAACCATTTTTAGACTAGTTCTGGGTCCCACTTAGTGTCCAATGCAATGGGTACCAGGGATATAGTAGGCTGAGCTTGAGGCCATATTTTCATATCCTCAATTCACTTACAGCAGAGTCTAAAAATATTTTGTGTGATATTTTATTTCATAGTGTGTATATGTTGCCCTGTTGGATTTGAGGCTGTCCCAGTGGTGACTATGAAGAATTGTATCTTCTGTGATAACCTTGTGTAAAAGTTTTGCAGCATGTTTGAGTCACAGCTTAAATATTCTTCTATCTTAGAAGGAGTATTTTCTACAAAGAACTTCAGTTGTTCATATTTTTCAGATCAATATGAAACTTTTTGATACATCATCCATATTTTATCCCTTATGTCATACATATTTCCTGTATTCATAGATCAAATTTGCATGTTGTACCATAGGTATTCTACTGAATTGAATGTATGAAATGTACAATGGTAACAATGATATCTGAAAAGTTCTGCATAATTTTATTAGCATTGCTTCCTAAAAGAAGTACACATCATTGTTTTAATTTTGAACAATATTTGTTTGGTTGTAATGTGCCAGTGTTAATTTATTATATAGAAACAATTTGAATATTGTTTTATAGCTAATGGTGTTGGGAATTATTATTATTATTATTATTAATTTTTTAAGTTATATAACAGATACAGTCAATACAATAATAATAAAATATGCATTCAGTCTTACATAATACAGGTATTTCTTGACTTACAAGATGGTTACATTTTTGAGAGCAGTTGCATAATTTGAAATTCTTTTTCCAGTAGCAATAATGTTATAAATAGATGTTGTTTACAACAGAGTTTTCTTAAATTCACTTTTCTATATGAAAGCAGCAAATTTATGTGTTAAAGAAAAATTCACATAAATTAAAATATATATGTAAGTCGGGGCATACTTGTGCATGATGTAATAAATATATCTGTGTTGTAAATAAGTAAACATATTACAGTCTGTTGCTTTTTAATTATTTACTTAGTGTTATATCTTAATAATGAAAATATTTCTGTTCTTTATAACTTAACCTTGTGTTAACTGATTCATAGAGTTTCAGATTACTCATTCATAAAATTCTGCTTTGGGTTTTTATTTTTGGAACTATGGTAAAACTGACATTCAGGTAGACATATCCATGGAAAATTATCTTCTGTTTTGTATCTTAAGACATTAAAGTTTATGACTGAATGAATGAATGAATGACATATTTCTAAACAAATGTATTCAGGACTCCAGAAATATCACTTAAATCATGTACAAATTTGTCTGCAGTTCTGGAATATTGTGCATTCTAAGAATTTATAGAAGATATTTCAAAACTTTTCAGCCTCAACCAACTATGCTACTGCGTGTCCCCTATAACATGTAAACTGCAGTGAAAATATGCTTACTTCAGGTTGCCTGTTCATGGCAACTGGGTGGAGTTTCTGGATTCTTGGTGATATTTTCGTGGTTGCAGCTCACAATTTCTATACAACAAATTCAAGTGTAATGATGCATGGCAGTGTGGAAAGAAAAGAATGTAGGAAAGATTACAATGGAAACTGATAAAAATATTACACTTTGTGTTAACAGTTTTATGGCATCTTTAATCACAGAAATAACTGTAGTGTATTACTTTGCAATTGACGAAACAAAGGACATTCATCCTCCATACATACAAGCATGTTCTCTCTTTCCACATTTTGTGATTGTAGGAAAAATTAAAAGCAGGCAATAATGTGTTCAGTCTCTTGTTTGGCAGAGTTTACATTACTGTAAAGGTGAATTAAATTGGTAAATTGCAGAAATAACCATAGAATTGTAGACAGTTACATGAACAATCAAAATCTAGCAATATTGTAAATATATAACATAATTACAAATAATTGCCACTTTTCTTGTACAGACTTGAAAACTTTCTTTGTGAATATCTATTGTCCTTTTCAACAAACAGTTCACAGACCAACAAAGTCCTTGATTCAAATACCAACTATCTTTGCTCCTACATTGTTGAGCGTCTCTGTTGCCTTCCTTGTGATGCTCTTCAGTACTTCATATGGTAACTAGAAGAAAGAATTCAGTTACTGAAATCATCACATGCTATAGCTACCAGAGGTTTGAAAGAACCTCCATCATCAAGGTAGAAAGCCTCTGAAACTTTGGTACCTGTCTACCAGAGTACACATCATCACATACAAGGAGACCATAACCTTAATATCCACTGTCACGAGAATCTTGATTTTCAAAACTGAAGGGACAGAAACATGAAACATGAAACATTAATTTTAATTATAATAATCTATATATAATTAGTTTAAGTGAGGCAGTGTTTGTTTATTTGTGATTATGATAACACCAGAGGATGGCATGAATGAACAGCAGTGTTTCAGTCAGTAGTACAGTCTTTACTTTTGTCGAAGAAGTTACCTCTACACTGTAATTATCGTGCCTATTCTATCATGTATCTCTCCAGAAGTTTTCAAATTCATGGCATTCATATTCAGTGATGTGATTTAAGAGTGTCCCTCAAGGGCTATAATGTGAAAGAGTATGTGAGTGGAAGGTTTATCTGTAGAAACTTGCTTTGAGGTGGGGATTGTCAAATTGTCCATTAAATATTCAATGGGCATTTTCTAGTAATGATGATAACAGAATCCATCCACAGAATCATGTCTAAATAATGGATAGCCAAACAGAAAATATCTGTCTGATCTTCAAGTTGTGGGTTGTGCTATCAGCTGAAAACTGATTCATATAAACAATTACGTTACAGATGAAGACTAAAGAATATTTTCAGTTTGTAACCTATCAAGAGCTAATGGCAACTAATTGCCTACAGCAGCAATTGGGTAGAACATAGTGAGAGGGTGGCAAATGAAATTCTTGAACTTTTTTGAATTTATAAACCACAAGGAAGGAGAAATGTTGTGGCAAATGTGACTGTAGTGACAGAACTGTGACTAATTCCTGAATGCAGTACATAAAGAAATTCTGTAAGCTATTCCAATGACATTTATTTAGTTTTGTTCTGCATTTGTTTTTTTCTTCCTCGAGTAAATTTTTATTTTGATTACATCAATGGACCATTTCTTGTATCAGATGAATCCAGTCCTTAACCTCACACAATACTTTTTAACATCTATTTTTTATGTTATCCTCCCATCTTTACCTAGGTCAGCACAGTGATCCTTCAAGTTCTCTGGTTGCAATTTTTATGCGTCTTAGTTCCCATGCATGCTACATGACCTGAGGACCTTGCCCTCCTAGATTTGATTAGTTATAATATTCTTGTCTTGCTCTGATTTATTTTAATACCAATGTCCAAGGGAGAAGTTCAGGTGTTTTTTGAATGACAGCATCATGAGAAAAGCTAACAGCATTACATATTTACTTTATATCATTGCTGTATTCATACCTGCTGGGAGTTGTTTCTATGCTACAATCAAAGCATTTCCTGTATGACACTCTTTCTCCATGAAGAGTTTATCAGTTTATTAAAAAATTAGGAAGTGTATTTCTAACAGCGTGACATATTTGGAAGGATAACATTAAAATGGATCCTAAAGAATTATGACTTGATGTTGCAGACAGAATTTGTCTGGCTTAAGAGGGGAACCCATGGCTAGCTGTCGTGAAACTAGTAATGGAAATTTCAGGTTTCACAAAAGTGCAACATTTATCGATTAGTTGAGCTGCTTGCAGCTTTGGAAAGAATACACTTCCACGAAATTTATAATGACGTGAGCGGTTTATAATGTGCCATTTCTTGCTCTGTACCAAATTCATAAAAATCAGTGAATTACATAATGTTTAAATTTTATTTTGGAGAATCTCAACTTATGTTACACCTTATATATATATTTTCTTTTTTTATTTTCTGAAAGCAACCAAAAATCCGTGAACCATGAAAATGTGCAGTCAACGATAATGGATTGGTGTGCACATACGTATAACTTCAAAATACTTGTTATGATGATTGATATGATTTTTGGTAATTAATAGTTACATAATATAAGTACGTGAAATATAATTCATGTTGATTTATACGTGATATTTGCTATTTAGAAGTTAGCTTGAACGTTCAGACAGTGGCGCGCACTCGAGTGGTGGCGTGGAGAATTAGAAGTGTCTTTAGGAGTTTATGAGAACGATGTATTATCAATGAAGTGGAGTTGAGACATGTCATTGGGTTTTATTGTCTCCCTGCGCGCGCAAGCTATGGCAGCTATGGGTTCTATCTTTTTGTAAGTTATTACGCAGCGACGCGGTTTGTTGGTCCGAAAGACGCTTAAACGGAACAGTTTTAATTCTTGGCAAGTATAAAAATTGAAGTGTCAGTTTTGTTATTTCTATACAGATAACAGCAGTGAGATTTGTCAAAATCAGTGTCGTGATTCCGTGTTGTGTTGGTTTGTTTCTCAGACTGCAGAATTTATATGACTAGAATAAAAGTACACCTTGCTACGAGTAGGTTCAATGCCCAATCTTCTGATTCATGGGCGTGCAAATTATGGCCCGCTGGCTGGATGCGACACGAGAGAAAAAAATTTGGGCCTCGGGTATATTGTGAAAAATTATTTTTAAAGTAGGTCCCATTTTACCATTTTCATTTCTGAAGCAGTATAATATTGTATTTCTTTTACGCGAACACAAGTTTTGGTTGATTTTCGCAGCAATGAGCATTAACTCCACAGTTTTCTTCTAACACAGTTACAAAATGCGGTGTATCACCGATTATATACTTTTCAAGATGACATCAGGAGAATAGTAGGCCTATAATTCTTCAGCATTGTATGTCTCTCCACGTCATCTTTGTCGACATTTTGCTGCCATAATATTTAAAAAGAACATGGTTTTGCGGCATCTGTGGGAATTCCTAATAACACTGGTGTGCTTTATTGTTGTTCGATAAATACGCCCAGATTCACAGGATAAGAAAAGGACAAAGTTTGGAGGGAGAAAGAGCGGGAGAACCACGAAGCGCGGGATCTCAATTTTGGCTATCGGTATGCCTAGTAGCAGTCAGTGTTTTTCCGAGAACAGGCAGTTCGTCATAGAATTGTGAATCGTTAGTGAGCTCCGCAGTTTACTTCATAATGTGTGTGTATTTGAGGAAGTGATATAAGTTGAACGTTCCGAATTGCTGGGTTTCTGGACGTTGTCCATCCGGTGTTCTAAAAAACTAGAGGACACAACGTTTTGGAAACTTAATCTATTTCCGTCCTCAGGTGAGGGAAGACACCTACTCTGTTGATTGAGCTTAGCTCTTCCTAAGGGACCTAACAGAGTGAGTGTCTTCATTCTCATCTGATAACGGAAACAGATCCAGCTTTCAAAATATTGTGTTCTCTAGTTTTCTAGAATGCCGGACAATGGGCATAGTCAAAATGCCCAGTAACCTTTACATTCTATCAGTTTGACGTTGTGTAGCAGTGCGTATATATATTTCTGCATATGCAGTGTGAACAGTTTTCCTTGTGAACGAATGTAAGAAAGCATCAAACACTGGGAAATGCGCCTCAACCTTCAAGGAGCATCATTTCTTGCTAGTGTGGTGAGTAATTACATTCATTATGTAGTATATTATATGTTGTTGCATGTTAAAAGATAATTCAGAAATATTGTGTGGACTTCTTTTCGGGATTCAGTCCCTATTACAGCACCAAGAAATTTGCCCACTGCTGGTCTTGTTAGTGCCCTCCGTTCGCGATGTAGTAGCGTTTGAGACAGCGTTCAAGAATGTAAAGACGAATGCCATCTTGCATAAAAAAATGGCAGTTCGCCCTTCCGCTACGTAATTGTTTCTACAGTAAAGTAATTTATTTAGTTACTACTTTGCAGTGCTGTGGTCAGTGATTTTTGGTTTATTAGCTTCATATTTCAACGTAGACACAATTTTCTGTCACAGGTGTCTGTAGTTGCTCTTTTATTTAGATGTAGTTTCGGATTTCTTTAACAAACCCGAACTTAGTAGCGGGCCAGGACACAATTCCGTGATAGACTATGGAGCGTAAATATATAAACTAATAAAAGTCTGTTTGTTTCTGTCTACAGGCCTACATAGTGCATAAGCCTTTGGCGTTTCTTGCGCTCTCTCCTTGATATCCGAATGTTGCACGAACCAGTACACAGAGTGAAAAAGAAATGTACGTCGTAAAGGAATATTAATGGAAATCATATATTTTATTAGATGCTAATAATAAACAAAGAAATGACAAAATTTTGCTGATAAATCGTAATAATTTTTATATAAATTATGTGCATATTTATTTTACTTGCTCTTTCAGTAACTGAAATTATCAAATGGGGCAAAGGCCGCGCTATAGCTCAAGCGGTTAGTCGCTGGCTTCCCACCGCGGCGGCCCGGGTTCAAGCCCGGGTCTCGTTAAGTGGGATTTGTGGTGGACAAAGTGGCGCTGGGGCAGGTTTTCTCCAAGTACTTCGGTTTCCCCTGTCAATCTTCATTCCACCAAAATCTCCAGCATCATTATCACCCGGGGCAGGTACAGTAGGCCAATCAGTGGCCGCCGTGTCGAGTGGACCCAGCTGGACTCCCCACTAAGCGAAGCGAATCAAATTGGGCAGATTGCGGTTGAACCAGTTTAACCTCAATAAGTGAAGGGGATACGAAAATGCAATACTGGATATCATTGAAGAGTTCTGCTTTCTGTAACATAAAGCCGTGTAGTCCTTTCAAATTCAGTCGACGTTTCAGAGTCGACGAATAACGAAAGTAAGAAACCGGCGTGAGGCAGACGCTCCTTGCTGCCTGCTCCATGTTACTCTCTTGCCTGACTTGTTTCTCGACCCTGAAAACGAAGGCGATGTGTTCTTCACGAACGTCACTTGACTTTCAGCGCACTACAAAAAGCAGGATATCCCATAAGCCAGAAGCTTAAATCCTACATTGATATGTCATTGCCTTGGCTTTCTCTTACTAGCATAAATGCTGGCAAAATTTTTAAAAATAGATAGGATATTAACGTCCATTATTTATGGTCCGTGACTATTGCAAAACTTTTTTGTTCACAACTTAATTTTAATTTACGCTTTGACACTACATGTTTCGGCCCCAAACGGCCATCTTCAGGTGTCTTGATATGTTACAAATACAAATACAGAATCATAGATAGGATATGTTTATAATTAATCTTAAACTCTCATTTTGTAAGTTTTTTTTAAATGCTAGTAGGGTGGGACTAAGTCCCTTGTACTGCGGCCAATTGTGGCCTATTGTACCAGCCCCCAGATGATAGGTGAGGGTGATTGTGGAGCAATTGGTGGAATGAAGATTGGCAGGGGAAACCGAAGTACTCGGAGAAAACCTGCCCCAGCGCCCTTTATCCACCATAAATCTCACTTGACCAGACCCGGGATCGAACCTGGGCCGCCGCGGTGGGAAGCCAGCGACTAACGGCTTGGTCTATGGCGCGGCCGTTTTGTAAGGTTAGTATTTAGTGCAATCATTACGGCTCTCCCAGTTAGTCCATCTATAGGCTGCGTCATTTGCAACCCGCCACCCCAACTACGAAAACAGGTCACGTACGTGTGTACAGAAATGAAAACAGACGCAGTTCCCTCCGGTGTAATGGAATCTCCCCTTCTTCCTCTTCAAACCCGAGTCAGTGTCACCTTCGTTGCTAGGTCGCTGCTGTCACCAGTTGCGTACAATCTCCGCGCTTGTACAGGGCGACCCATAAAAAGAAAGTTCTGTTGTACTGTCCGAATCATCACGAATGCTCTTCTAATAATTGCATATGTTTCGTAAATATCTGTTGTCAAGAGCAATATGGTTAAACTTGTTCTATTAGACGTCTTTAAGAACAGGGCATGCCCAGTTACTGTGACATCACAGCAGAATAAGAGTAGGTTCAGTATGGAATATATTCGCAAAAAAATTACGCGTGCCCAGAATTTATGAATTCGGATTTTATTAACGTCCATTTATTGCAAGTGCCGATCACAGTGGCCGCGCAGTCTAAAGCATGAACCGTCTTCGCCCGGTCAAACCCTGGGTTCGTGTTTTCGAATCTCACTTGAGGCATGAATGTATGCATTTATTCTGTGTATGGGTAAATGCCTTGCAATGGGCTGATCCCCCATCTAAGGAGTCCTACTAACTGTGTAAAAGATCAAGAAAATGATAAGGCTGGCAAAGTCCAACAAACGACTGCAGAGCCATAAATAAATAGACGACAGCCCAGTTCAATGTGTATGAAGATTTTTTTAATTACGCTGGTGGAGACAAAGAATTCGGAAGGCAAAGAGATATTTGGTCGTTACACAATTTTTGTGCAGTGTTTGCAAAGAAGGCAGTGTAAAGTAAAAATGTTAGTTGGAGGATATAATCAAGCAATACTTACATCAACAGTGGAGCCAAGGAAACTGGTGAACTTTGTTACACCGCTCACGATGCTGCGCCCGATTTGACCAAGTTTTTCCCCATCATTTCCATACTTCTCTTCCTCCCGAATTGTGTCCAGAATTGGTTGAGGCTGTTTATGAAATGCAATAGATTCGCAGTGTACTCATATTAAAATATTACTCCATCAAACGAAAATATCAGATCTCTAAAATATTTCTTCTAAATTTATCATTAAATGAGATTCACATTTTAACACTTTGGAGCACGAGAAAGAGGAAGTAGGAGGTAAATAAAATAAAAAAGAGCATGGGTACCGGGTGCGCTTTCCTTTGAGTTAAGTTTGCCGAGGCTTGAAGTTGACCTCCAGCTAGTGCTGACGTCAAGAAAATGCGGATCTATACATCCACTCCCCCATACGCCATCATGGAGTAGTTCTTAATTAGTTAAACGTAGGGACAATTTTACCTTTCACCTTTAGGCGGAAAGAGATTATTGGAGAGGTGAGAAACACTTCATTTTGGAGGGAAGAAAGGATAACATTTTGGCGGATTTCAGACTGCGCATGCGCCGTTTTTCCGATCAGCTAAGTAAGAAAGTGAGCTCAATACTGTAGCATCCTGTTGCGTTTGAGTCAGTTGGTTGTATTCAACCGTCACTTGTTGCGTAATGTATTTGCAAAACCGCACATCACTGACGGGTTGCCTACAGGTGCCGGATGAATGTAACCAACAGCAAATGAAGGTATGAGAAAGAATGTAATTATTCGTTTGAGACATGGGCCAAGGACCTCCGGGATTTTCATTTTCGGAATTAATGTTGATTTGCATAATTTAAAAAATTAATCGAAATCAAATCAAATTAAAAAATCCATCTGCTATCTCACAGAAAAAACACGGCTTCTCTGTTACAAAGACCAGCTTTTAAATATAATAAATGGGGGAAAAATGATGTTAATCTTGAGATTCTTACGAAGCACACAGCTGTGTGGGGGAAGTGTAGACATTTTTTAACTTTAAGACAGGCAGTACATACAGTGAACACTGGGCTTGAAGGGTTGCTTACATGGGAAATAACTTTTCTTATTAAATATATGTGAAATAAGCAATGAGATATATCAAAAGCGAGGAATATCAGTGGCATTGAGTAGAACCTCAAGGGAACAAAGAAAGATTAAGTCTTATTAAGGACGGTATGCCCAATGGCAGGTCCAATTCTGTATGAAAGTGAAGTTTAGGATAAGAAAAGAAAACTTTATTAAAATTAAAACAATGGAAATTCACACGAGATTTGAGGTTCCCACCGCGGTAAGAGCCGGAATAGAGCAGTCGATATAGCGACTTGCTACGGGCTGGACGACGTAGGGGTCTGAGTTCCAGTCCCGGTTGAGGCAACCATTTTAAACTTCTCCATTTCGTCAGACTGGCTCTGGGGCCCACCCAGCCTCCTATCCAAGGGGTATCGGGTTATCTTTCTCCCGGGAATAAAGTGGCCGGGGCGTGAAGCTGACCATTCACATCCAACTAATACCGAGGTCAAGAAAATGTGAGTCTATACATCCACTCCCCCTTACGTTTTCGCGTCGTAGTGATTAATTAGTTAAGCAAGGGGACAGCTTTACCTTCATAGCGGTGAGTGTGAAGAATATAATCAGGCTGAAGTTTTCCGACATTTCGGAGGAACACACTGCTTCCATGTTTACGGTCGAAGAACAAGTGGAAAGGAAAATATCAAGCAGTGGTCCTGGCTTGTATTTTGCCTGAAGATGGAGGCATTATATTCCTAAGAAACATCGGAAAACGTGTGACTACCTGGCAGCAAATCCCAGACGGATGTACTGAAGGCAGAAGTGCAGTCTTTAAGATAAATCAAGGGATATGGTAGGTTAGAGGTACATAAGAATGGAGGGACATGGAAGGAAATGAACATTCAAGCCTATTCAGTAAATGGTGGAATAAACGAATATAGACAAAAACGGTTAATCCACTTTTATGAAAGGAGAATCGTGTTGTTGGCACAAGCAGTGTTCCTAGACATGGCAGCTGGGTTGTGGGTGAGGACAACCGTGGCAAGAAGTAGCGGGCCAGTGGCTGCAGCTGCAGTATGGAAAGGGGAACAAAGGACCTATATAACACATAGAATCCTTATCACGGCTGGCGGGCTAAGCCAAATCCATTAAGTACCTTTTGCATCGAGTCCTTTTGCTTACAAAAGACGCACAACAGAACGCTGCTCTTTGGTAGCACACTAGTCAAGCGCGGTCTCCATGAGCCATACGCATGCGCGTCTGCTGCCTACATTCTCTTGAAGCTGGACTGTGCTTCAACCTAGTGATACACATAGCAATCCTATTTTTTCAATTACAGTTGTTTTACTTCAATTTGTGACCTATTTACTGACTCTCCTTCGTACTTAACTTTCTCCTTTAAATTAAACGTTGGTGAAGATACAAAAATAATCTTACCTGCAACACATCTACGAGTAAAGTTTGGAAATACTTCAGAGCCGGTTTGTTGCTCTCCAATTCAACTCTTGTCCTGTCCCCCGAATCGACTACAGGCGCACTGGTCTTGCTTGTAGGTGATATAGACTGATAAAAATATAATGGAAAAATATTTTGAATTGAGTCAAGATATTCTAGAATTTTTTTAATTAACTAATCTGTGTTCATTTTCGTAACATACTGATTTTTTACGGTGAGGAGTTGTTAGCCCCACGCCAAACTCCCAAGCTGGTGGGCCACCCCTTGTCGGCTATCCGCGACTGCTTATTCTATATATTCACAGCTTCCCTCCAAAACTGGAGGGCGTCTTCATAACTTGTTTTCTTCTCCAAGTAAAATTAGAATGATCAAGTCTAGGAGGATGAGGTGGGCAGAGCATGTAGCACGAATGGGGGAGACAAGGAATGCGTATAGGATATTGGTGGGAAAGCCAGAAGGAAAGAGACCACAGGGAAGACCAAGGCATAGGTGGGTGAACAATATTAGAATGGATCTTAGAGAGTTAGGATGGGATGGTATGGATTGGATATATCTGGCTCAGGATGGGACCAGTGGAGGTCTCTTGTGAACATGGTGATGAACCTTCGGGTTCCATAAAAGGCTGGGAAATTGTTGAGTAGCTGCAGAATTGACGGCTCCTCAACAAGTGCTCAGGTCCATGAGTCAGTAAGTAAGTAAGTAAGTAATCTGTGTACCTCGTTGTGCTTTACTTATATTAATTTCAGGTATAAATTTGTCATCTCAGAGTTCATTACTCTGAAGGTAAATTTGTTAAAACGTCTATGAAGGAACGTCTGTGAAGCCTTGAGTGGACAACTTTATGGAAGAAAAAAGCCCAGTGCTTTCAGTGAGTTTTTCAGTATGGTGATTTTGGTGTCCATCGAGTGTTGTAAAAAAATTTAGTAACTTCAGAATGATGATAAAGGACCTTTATTATTAGCTGATGATCATGCACTTTAAATTATGTTTTAGACATAAGCTACAGTCAGAAATTACTTTCGTTAAACAGTGACCGTACAGGAAAATATTTCAAATAGAATTGTAAATTCTTATAAGACTGAATCTCATTTTCTTCGGGTTCTTATTGAGAAACTTACAGTTTTCATTTTAACTGACTTAGAGGAAATAGTCAATATTGAGAAACCACATTTAATCGGTTTCACGAAATTCCCAGCGATTTATCAAACCCAAAGTTTCATTGCAATGTTGAAAAGAAATCGCTACTGGTCGCCGTCCTTAGCCAGATTAATCCGGTCCCCAATCCTATTTTCGCAAGGTCCACTTTAATAAATTTAGTTATAAAGATAAGGTAAAAAGCAAAGCTATTTCCTGTAACAGGCCGTGGAGGTCCATAGGGTTGCGAGACGTCGAGGCTCCCACATTTTCTAGATAGTCGGCTCACAGAATGCGGTGAGGCTGTCAGCCTTACGCACCGGCCGCCATTTACCCTAAGGAAGATTTCTGGTACTCATTTCTGTTAGAGACCGAGTCGCCCCCAGGCCCATAGTGCTGCTGGAAGGTTTAGGTAGATTAAAAATTTCTATATCATCAGAAATCGAACCTGCGACCTTGGGGCTTGTAATATAGTGCCTCAACCAACTAAGCTACGGCGTGTATACATTTAGCTACGCGTTGACTGATTACCTCACTCTTGGAACTGAGCCCTTCTTGAGAAACTGCCAGTTGTGCATCTACTCAAGAACTTCCCAGAATTTTATGGAACCCGAAAGTTTATTACTATGTTCACAAGAGCCCTCCACTGGTCCCTATCTTGAGCCAGACCAATCCAATCCATACCATCCCATCCTATCTCTCTAAGATCCATTTAATATTCCCCACCCGCCTACGCGTTGGTCTTCTCAGTGGTCCCTTTCCTTCTGGCTTTCCCACCAATATCCCATATGCATTCCTCTTCGCTCCATTCGTGCAACATGCCGTTCCCATCCCATCATTCTTGGCATTGTCATTCTAATTAAACTTGGAGAAGAGTACAAGTTATGAAGCTCCTCATTATGCAGTTTTCTCCAACCTCCTGTCACTTCATCTCTCTTCGGTCCAAATATTCTCTTCAGGACACTGTTCTCAAACATCCTCAGTCTACGTTCCTCTCTTAATGTCAGAGACCAAGTTTCACACCCATACAGAACCACGGGCAAAATTATAGTTTTGTATATTATAATTTTTATGTTTTTAGACAGCAGACTAGGAAACAAAGAAGTTCTGGACTGAATGGTAGCAAGCATTACCCGAGTTCAATCTCCTCTTAATTTCCTCCTGAATCAGGTTTTGATTTGTTACAGTCGTTCCCAAATATCTGAACTGTGCCACATTTTCAAAACATTTGTTACTTATCTTTATATCATAAATTTACCCTGCATTTTGGTGACGAGACAGCAGCATATACTTAGTTTTGTCTATGTTTACTTCTAGGCAAACCTTCTTGCTAGAGTCACTGATCCTGATATTAGTTGTGTTGTGACGGTTGTAATAAAGAAGATTTTCTAGATCTTACACATTCGGTAGGACTCCTTGGGCGGGTTATCAACTCGTCACAAGGCCTCTACCTGTACACGAACACAGAAAAACGCACACACACAAACTAAACATCCATGCCATGAGTGGGATTCGAACCCACGATCCCGCCTTCCGATCGAGCGAATACAGTACATGACTTAGACCGCTCAGCTACCGTGACTGGCTACCAGATTATTACCAAACAAAATAACTTGCCTGCGTTCACGAAGTATATGTACATTTGCCTCGAGAAAATTGACCCAAGCGGCAACAATTTGGCATGTATTCGGAAGGCTTTCTGTTAGAATCTCGGTAAGGACACCTGATGTCTCGACTGAGTTATTTCGTGGATTTCCTCAGTCCCTACAGGAAAATTCTGGATTGTGCCTCAAATTATGTCCTTACCCACACCTTTCCAACATCCTTTCCAACTCATTATTCACTAACAAACCAAGCATCAAACGCTGTGTATTCTCAGCTAATAACAGCGTCGTTAAGCCTTAAAATGCCAAACCCCGCCGTAGAACTATTTGCTAGAAATACCTTGGCTGTTTGCGGATTAATGCGGTCGCACAGAGAAACCCAAAAATACTGTCCTCAAATGCCCTTGAATAAGAAACAGATACGTCTCAATCGAGAGCCCGTTCATTTCTCTAAACATCGGTTACAACTGATGCCATCTGTTGACAGAAAGGTATCACCAATCGATTATCAATAGACGATGTCTTTCGCTTCGGCAGCTTTAACTCAAGTAGAACGAACAGGTCTAGGCCAGTTAAATGAACAAAGGATTAAACAAACCGTGAATAAAATACCTACTGTTGCTAATTTAGTATTTTCCCTCGAGTCGGCAGTATCTGTAGCTGCCGTAGATGTAGGTACTGCGATGGACGTGCCCTGCTCTCCTCTAGCGACAAGTAGTTCGATCTTCGTGGGACCATGCGTGTTCTCAACAGGGCTTGAAGACGGATATCCTGCAGCTAGAGCCGAAAACATGACTAGACATAGGGCGGGTGTCCTGGCGTGCATCATTTTAATCGTGAAATAATTTCTGCAAGAAAACAATTCATTTCATTATTTAATGCAGCTACTTCAGCCGCGGGTGCTATAGGTCCATACAAAGAAAAAACTCCGTGGCCTGTAGTCCGCAAGCGAACTATACCGACCGAGCAACCGTCGCTTGTCGGCGATGTTAGTGCCAAATTTTGCGGATAGAGGGTGTCGCGTGGACAGCGCAACAGATCCCCTCGGCCATTAATTTCGGTTTTCTAGAGCAGAGGTATGGGGCCCATATTTGTGGAATTTGAAGCCGCGATGCCCGAAATGACACTGTTTGAGGTGTCGTCAATAAAATGACGACGACAGGGACGCTGAAGTTTTTCATACCACTTCCAGCATTAATCTTGATGACGTTCAGCATTCTGTCCAATTGACGAAATTGTTATGACTAAAAACAGACGAAGCGTGACGTTTATAATTGTCACCTATTGCAGAGCTGGGCTCTTTTCATAGCGCTTTCAGAACAAACCACGACTGCGCTAACCTTCTGCTCAGTCGACGCCTTGACGAATTTTAATGTGACTAAATGCAGAAGCATGACATACAGAATGGTACTAAATTATTGTCGAGGTTTCCTTGGCCTATATTTTTCAAACCTTACGTAATGAAAAGCACGCATGTTGATGTTATTTAGAATTCTGTATTATTAATTCTACAAAAAATAAAACTTTTTGAGTTACACTTTCATATTTCGTAGGTAGTTTTATTTGGTTAATTTTGATTTGAAAATTATATGCCACAGAAATCCCGACAATAATTTAGAATCACGCTGTATGTAAAGTGGGGGGGGGGCTGAATTTGCATAAATGTTTATATCCCTCCAATGACGGCGTGGCTTTGAAAGTGGGGGAAGGATACATGAGTTCGTGTTCTGCACTGGGAAGTATAGGCCGCGTGCGTGTATAGGCCGCAGCACAATTTTCAGACAGAAATTATAGAAAAAATAATTTTCTTGGAATATTATTTCAGGAGTAGAACACCCTGTATTACTAATTATGAATATATTTTTTTTAAATGAAGTGTGATTTCGAATATAAGCCGCACCCCAGTTTTCCTCTTGAATTTTTGGCAAAAAATGTGCGGCCTATACATGCGTAAATACGGTAACTGTGCTCTAATATGTGATATAACATCTGGTGAATATTTGCCAACGTTTCAAAAGAACCTGCTCCCGTTCTCTGCAAGATAATATAGTTTTAGTATAGCCTCCCTGCAAAGGACGAAGAATTTTTACGCGAAATTTGAGATTCTGACGACGTCGAACACGAAAATTACTGTCGTTTCTGGAGATGATGCCACGCAACCTGATAGAAATTTTCCGACATTTCGGAGGAACCTCCTCCCTCTGGAGTATAAAAGTGTATACAGATACAGTAAACTGACGATAGATGAATAAGACCTAAATTCACTCTGAGAGACTTGAGGTTCTAACAGCGGTGACTCTTAGGTCAACGATTTTCTTAAATGTGACGTCATACTGCCTGGTGAATATTTACGAACTTTTCGGAGTAACCTGCTGCCCATATTTTCAATACACAAAATCAATTCTGAAGACAGAGGTACCAGATTTCTCCGAAACGTTGGTATTAGTATATCACGCTACACGTCTTCACATCGTGGAAGAAATTATATTTATATTTACTGCCTTTAAAATCTCAAATTTCATATTCCATTGCACTAGAACAATTTAAGTCTTGAAGAATTATATCTTCTGCAGTATAACGTCTTGTAGTCAAGTAAAAGTCAACCGACGTTTTGGACGAAAGTGTCGCCTCCATATTTGGGCTTGGAGAGTAAGTGAAGAAAGAAACCAGCGTGAAGTAGACTCCATTCTGCTCCTTCGTACCGGCTTCTTCCTTCACTTCGACCCTGAAAATAGAGGCGACATGTTCCTCCGAAACGTCATTTGAATTTTAGCGGGCTATAAGGCGTTATATCCCTGAAGATATAACTGTTCGCAGCCACGGCTGTGAGAGACTCACATCTACGAAACTGAAGTTACGTCATAGGCAGGAAAATCTCGGAACCTTTGAGTTTGTTGGTAACCGTAAACTCAAGAAACGTCATGATTAGGACCCGGATTTTGATGACCTGAAAATATTTAAAAAAGACCTATAAAATGACCGAAAAATCCAGAAAAATAACCTAAAATTTGACCCAGAAATATAATATGCAGGGCCCGGATTTTGATGACCTGAAAATATTCAAAAAATGACATATAAAATGACCGAAAAAATCCAGAAAAATGACCTAAAGGAGAGAAGAAAGAACACTTCGCTTCCATGTTATTCACATTTCAGAAAGCATATGAAGAAAAATTCCGTAAAATGGCCAAAAATGACAAGAAGTACTCTTAAAAGTCCAAAAATTTACTAAAAATTACCCCCTACATGAAAAAAATGACCTTAAACCTAGAAATGTCAAAAAATGGGAAGAAATTACCTATAAAATTTACTTTTCTGTAACCGGCAGCTCATAACCGAGATTTATATACTTAAGAGCATCGCATAGGATACAAGGAAAAGAAGAAGACATGTCATCAAAATCCATGCCCTGGTCATGACAGACGACTTGGAAGCAAATTCCGTTTTATTCACAGCAGTGCAGTTTGACAGGTTCGACTGAAAGGAAGGGAAATGGGCGGCAGAAAAACTGGTCCAGTGAGACCGTGAAAATGGAAACTTGATCTGTCAACTGTATCCAGCGGTTAACATTTTGAAGCACTGAGACCAGAAAGAGAGGGAGAGAAAGTGAGAGGTAAAGGAGAGAGATTAGAAGAGATGGTGAAAAGGGAAAGTCATGGGAGAAGCAGACAAAATTCACTTTGCGAAGAGATACCAAATATCACTTTCTTAGAAAGTTCGCCCACATGACCTCTTCAGAGCTATATGGTAATGAAGATATTACGATGTTTAGTAGAAGCCTGAGACAAAAGCAACAAAATTTTGATTTTCTGAATGAATGGTTTGTTTGTTATTTAACAACGCTGTCAGTTTCGAGGGTCCTCTTATGATCTTTCGTAAGAAGCTTGTCTCTGAGAGAGACAGGATAACTGTTGAAGTTAAGCAGGAACCAGCTACGATGGGTGGTAGGACTACTTACAGGACACTGTCACCTTAAAGGACACCTCTTCAAACTGGGACTAAGTGACAGTCCCACTTGCGAGAGGTGTCAAGAAGAAAACAGAACAAAATTAACATCAGCTGTGCCATGACGGCTGATCACAGGACTTTGCTGATACATACCGACTTCTGGCCAGCAGACCAGTAAACAACAAAATATTGCATATCCCTAATTTATGTGCTGTTGTTTTATTGATAATTTGAATTACACGTCAAGCATAATAACGCGTTCTTAAATTGCGATTAGAATTACATAACAAAAATTTAGGCTTGAGTTTCATTTGAATAGCATTTAGGAATGCGTCATGTACTTCAGAGAAAACAAAATTCGGCTCCATTAAGAACGCCAATCGCTTAATATTGTTCAGTAGGACATCTATGTTTCTTTTTAAGAATCACACGAAGCATATAAATATTTTCTGAAAAATTAATTGCCTTTAAATTTTAAAGTATATGGTACATAGGTCGCACCATAGCTCAAGCGGTTAGTCGCTGGCTTCCATCGCGGCGGTCCGGGTTCGATCCTGGATCTGGTCAAGTGGGATTTGTGGTGGACAAAGTGGCGCTGGGGAAGGGTTTCTCCTAGTACTTCGGTTTTCCCTGCCAAATTCTCCATCATCATAATCACCCGGGGCAGGTACCATAAGCCAATCAGTGTCCGTCGTCTCCCACTATAGGAAAAGGTGATACATACGTGTACCGCTGCACTTTTATGGGTTAATAGGATTTTAATGAAAGAATTTAAACACTGAACATTCAGCTAGCAACCGGACAATGGACAGAGAGTTCCTGTTTGCATTTTCCTTATGACGGACAGAAATCTGCCGCGAGGTGGAACTACCGTTGAAATGCAAATAGTTGTGGCCGTCATCTTTTCGAAAGTGAAACTACAGTAAACCCTCGCTAATCTGGATTAACTGGAATATGAAAGAGCTTACCCGGATTAATGAAGCAAAAGGTAGCCTAAAAGACAAAAAACCTAAAAAACAAATAAATGGAAAAATTTTAATGACATTGCTTATGAAAAATACAAGAAAATGTCATTGCAGGAAATTTTCTGTCAGAAGCTGAAATATGGGGTCTTCCCCTTCCAGCTCAAACCAATCTTGAAATTTTGTTTCGTGTTTGCAGTTTCTCCACGTGCCCTCAGCACAGCCTGAAAGCCCTCTTGTTACAATCCCTGTTTCTCCTCAGTCCAATATGTTCTTTTTAAAGTATGTACCCAACTGTGTACAAAATTTCTCCTTTTTCATATTTCGATGCGGATTATCCGACATCCGGATTAACTGTAATTGTATTAGCGAGGTTTGACGTTACGTATTTTTACCTGCGAGCGGATTCTGTTCTCATAAATTTTGTTGGCAGTTAATGTGTCATTTATACCGGGCTCTGATGATGTTGCGATATATCGACATTTTGGACTTACTCGCCTTCAGTGAACACAACTCAGTAGTTACCTTGGCCTGGGGATTTGAGTAGATCCAACTTCCGGAACGTTGATTTCAACCCCGTAATATCAGTAAGATATAGTCTTTAATGCTAAATTAGCACGTCTTCCGACATTTTAAAGAAAGAAAACCAGATACTTGCCTTTAATATTCAGTAAACTTCTCGCCGGTTTGTTGTTGAATACAAACATTCGAAAGTGACCATAGAATGGCAAGATGCTCTGACCTGAATTTTCTTATTTCCCCCAGACAAATGTTCTAAAATCGGCTGCTACGCGTTTCTTCAAATTTATTATCCTAGTAACCATATTTGGGCAATTTTTCACCTTTTTTTTCCGAGCAGTAGACCTCAGCAGTTAGTGCACGGCATCACATCACAAAAGACAAGTCTTCAGTGTTCTAACACGTGACAGCCTGTTCTGTAGGCAAAATATCTCTTTTGTCAGAAATAAACGCTGAAATATCTAACGTACAAAGAATTATCTTCTCTTAATAAGTGTATAATTTCCCCACTGTTTTCATTTAAATATACACAGAAGTTAAAATTAATACACGTTATGGTTATCCATAGATACTAATGAGAGTTGTGTCACTAGGCACTGCGGTTTACTCAGCTTCTAACAGAAATGAGTACCAGGAATTAATTAAATAATTTTCCTGGGGAGTAAAGCGCGGCCGGCGAGTAAGGCTGACAACCTCACCGCCATCTATGAGCCGATTGTCTAGATAATGTGGGAGCCTCAACGTCTCACAACCCTATGGGCCTTCACGGCTTGTTACAGGGATAACTTTACTTTTTTTTTTAACAGAGAATAATAAATTTCTCCTGAGAGTTTTTGGTGTACACCTTAATTCATGGCATGGACATTAAAAATGAAGAGTAGATTTGAGAATTCCCATCTCTACGTAGCATTTCTGCAGATAATCTTCCCATTGATCATATTTTAAGACATGTGCTCACTGAGGAACATTTTTTAATCACGATTTCACTGAATATATGTGCTATGGGTTTGATAGAAGAAGCTTACTCCTTCGGTAAATGTTGACAATGTAATACAGACTGAAACACTGTCGTTTGTTGCTGCCAACTGTTAGTCTTTGTGTAAACAACCGTGAGGTATTTTTTTGCTTTGCATTTGGCTACCATGCAAGCGACTTAAAGACAAATCGAGATCCCAAAACACATAACAGTGCTGCCAATCCAGTTGTATACAAATAACACATTTAATATAAATCTATTCTTTTTAATTAGTATTAAAACGATGAAGCATGCTGAGTGAACACATGTTCGTTTTGTGCGAAGAACCTGTACGGATGTGGGATCTGTGGTACTCCGTGTCGTGGTTATTAAACATTCTATCATCTCAGATATAACGCCATGCATTCTGTTGGAGGTGAACCGACATTTTGGAGGAACATAACGCCTTCATATTCATGGCATAAGAATAAGTCAAATAAGATACCAACATGAATGAGCTCTGCTTTTCATCTGCTTCGTGCTAGTTTCTTGTTTTCTTATCCTTCAACCCTGAAGATGGAGGGCGACATCTTACTCCCGAACTTCCATTGACTTCCAACAGACTACACGGCGTTATATCTCAGGGAAAAACTCTTCACAACGAGTAAAGAAGCTGATTTATGAAACCGGTGAATAAAACAGGATTAAATTATTAGAATCCAGACTATTCCTGTGCAATCTTTGGGAGATATGAATTTCTGTGCCCTAAATCTATCTGTCTAAACAAAGAATGAAAATTAAACTCATACTCACACATCAGGGTGATGTTCTGTCAGTCGAGTATGCTTCAAGAAGTGGCTAGTGACAATCACATCGTCAGTAAAGGTGAAGTTATCTTTGGGTTCTCTCTGTCAGACTCCCCACTACAACACTCGTCTTGTGAAAGTAGGCAACAGGAACAAAAGAAATAAATACAGTGTGATGTGAGGAAAGTGTGCCCCTCCTTGCTATGTGGAACACAACGGGAAACGACATTCTGATCCTACGAGCGATTATAACACAGTTTACATCCATCATATATTTCGTTGCCTCGCAATCGCGTATCTAGTTCACTTGAAGCCCAGTAAGTAGCCTATTTCGTAACCTTTATAAATTGCTTAACAGTCAACTCTTGTCAAGTCACTTTCTTCGTATATGCAGTGCTGCCAATCGTACGGATTTAAATATCCTTACACAGTTTGAATCCAGTGTCACAATCCAGCTCACATGAAAATTGGCACAGTACGGAATTGTTATAGACGGGATTTTGAATTGGATTTATTGTACACTTACAGATCGTAACTACAAATAACTATAACATGTCGTTATTTCCATACTTTACAAAATCACGCCAAGTCATTTCCAGCCTCAGTGTCTTCACTGATCGTTGCCTGGTAACGGTTTCTAACAGTGGCTTGCACTCTGCTTCCAGCCCCTTTCCAACTGACTCTTTTCTTCACAGATTTCCATAGTTAATCAAGCACTTTGCCATGAAAACACATGGGGGAGTGGAGGCATAGCTCCAACCATCTTGACCTCGGCACTGGATGGAGGTGAGTAGTCAGCTTCACCACCCTGTCGCTTTACCCCGGGGAAAGAGTTCCCGGTATCCATTGGATAAGGCTGGGTGGGCCCCAGAGTCGGTCTGGACTATGTGGAAAAGGAGAAAATGTTGCATTGCCGAGTAATGAATCCGGGCCTTTCAGCCCATAGACCGTCGGAGTACCGACTGAGCTATCCCGGCTATCTCAGATCACATACGACCTAAAAATATGCTGGTTAAATTCCGTGAAAATATCCTTGAGGATGCGTCATTATCAGACAGTAGCACAAGTCGCTAACTATCATTAAGAAGACACTAGAATCTAATTTTCAACATAAGCTGCGAAACAAAATCGCCATTACGGAGAAGTCTTTAACAAAGAAGAATTTTTTGCCGTAAGGTTTCCTACTAAAGGTATGACGTAGGCCGCGCCATAGCTCAAGCGGTTAGTCGCTGGCTTCCCACCGCGGCGGCCCGGGTTCCATCCCTTGTCTGATCAAGTGGGATTTGTGGTGGACAAAGTGGCACTGGAGCGGGTGTTTTCCGAGTACTTCGGTTTCCCCTGCCAATCTTCATTCCACCAAATTCTCCATCATCATAATCGCCCGGGGCAGGTACAATAGGTCAATCAGTGACCGCCGTTCCGAGTGGACCCAGCTGGACTCCACCCCCCGCTAAGAGAATTAAAAAAAAAAGGTAGAACGTGGTATTTCAGAGGTCACCTGCACGTACCTGCCGGTTCTTACCGACCACATCCCTGAAATATTAACATTGGAGATTAGTAACCGAAATATACCCGATTAACAAATAACTGTTAGTCAGGATTTTTATGTCGTTCCTCAGTTACTCCTGTCGAGTGTAAATCAGACCATGATCGCCTCCTGTAGAATCATTTAAGAGTTCTCTGTTCTGAGATATATCGCGCATTGTGGTCCGTTGAAAATCAGCCAACGTTTCGGAAGAATATTTCGAAGAATGAGTCAAGCAAATAGCCAGAGTGAAGCAAATAGCAATGCCACCTGCTTCTTGCTTTTACATCATTGGTCTAAAAGTTCAGGGTTTCATCTCTGATCCTGTATTTTCTGGTTAAATAGTAAGATAAAGTTGCTTCTGTGCTTAATTAATTAAGCACCACGCGATGAAGATGTATGAGGGAGTGGAGGTATCGTATCCTTGATCTGAACAGTAGATGTAGTTGGGTGATCAGTTTCACGCCCTGGCCGGTTTACTCCCTAAGGATTAGCCTTCCAAACCAGTTAGATAGAATTCTGCGTTGTCCCTGTCTGGACATTGTGGGGAAGAGAAAATCCATTGTCCCTGTCGGGAATCGAAGCTCGGCATATCAGTCCGTAGCCAGTCGCTGTATCGACTGAGCTATCTCTGCTTGTGGATATAAAGTATGGCATTTATTTCGTTTACGGGAGGGTCCCTTGCTGTTATGTGGTTATTCTGCTTTTGTTCGAGTTCCCAATCGTCGACCTGACAAGTTTGCTTAGTCTCTTTAACTTGCTGTGGTGAAACGGGAGGACACAGTATCTTTTAGTTAGCTTAGAAAGCCTCCTTGTTTATCGACTTTGGTGTACTTTACCACATTTATCAAAGGAAAGCTTTCATGTGTCCCCCCTTTCGTCTGTCCTTTCATCCGTGGAGGTTATTGTAAACCCGTCTTCCATCTTAGAAGCGGAAACAAGAACCTCCAATGTCCCTTGCGTAGAAAATATAAAGCTATCCCTGTAACAAGCCGTGGAGGCCCATATGTTTGTGAGACGTCGAGGCTCCCACATTTTCTAGAGTCTTGACAATCGGCTCACAGCTGGCGGTGAGGCTGTCAGCCTTAGGCTTCGGCCGCCCTTTACCCCCAGGAAGATTCCTGGTACTCATTTATGTTAGAAGCTGAGTGGACCCCAGGACCATAGTGCGGCTGGAAGGATTAGATGAATTGAAAAATATAGTGACCTTATTGGATATCGAACTTGCTACCTTCGGGCTTGTAGCATAATGCCTTAACCAAATGGGCTCCCGTGCATTCTCCCAACCATTACACTTTGCATATTCACAATATGAAAGTAAGAAACCGAGTGGTCATGTCGAATTTTAATTTATTTATGTTGTAGAATCTTGTTTTTATTTAATGATGTATAATTCTTGAACATGTCTTTGCTTACATCCTTTGAATATTCTTCTCTTTCTGAAATTATTAAACTCATTTCAACACTAATTATATTTATATACAATATAATACAAAATAATGTAATAACTACATGACATAAGCTGATATATAATATAATATAACGACATAAAATTTGTCATATATAATATGTAATGTAATTATAGAAGAATGTAATATAATAGAATATGGTGGAGTATGCTAGTAAAATCATTAAATGTAAAAGGTGTATATACAGAGTGCGTCAATGAATCGGGCGATTTCGCAGCTGCAGTTTTTCCTGGATTGGTTGGAGAGGGGAGGATGCCACCACTGCCACCCAGCAGCCTACTTCAGAGCGTTTTAGTTGCAATGGAGCCGTCGACTGGAGCACATAGTGCTTCTGCTGTGAAAGCATTTTATAAAAACGGTGACATTTTCGTGATCGCTCATCATGAATTTCGAAGAGAGTTTGGTATTTATCGCAATCGTGCTGTTCCATCTGCCCATGTTATCAAGACCTGGGTTCAGAACTTTGAGGCTTACACTTGAGGTTCTACACTAAAGAAGAAAGGTGGTACCGTAAACACAGCACGTACACCCGAGAATGTAGCGGCAGTGAGAGGAGCCATTGAGCGAAGTCCACGCCGGTCTGCGCGTCACCACGCTGCATCACTCGGGCTGTCCGAAGCCAGCGTTCGGCGGATTTTGCACAAAGATCTCCACTTCTACCCCTATAAAACTCAAATTACTCATGCACTACACGAACACGGCTATGAAAACAGAGTTGATTTCTGCCAGACTTTTTTTGCAATTAATTAATCAATCGAAACCAAGATGTTAAGAATTTAATGATGAACGATGAAGCTCATTTCCATTTGCCGGGGTTCGTTAACAAGCAAAATTTCCGCTGTTGGTCAGCCACAAACCCCAAAGAAATTTATGAGAGACCACTTCATAGTCCCAAAGTCACAGTATGGCGCGCAATATTTTCGTTTGGAATTACTGGCCCGTACTCCTTTGAGGATGAGTGATAAAGGGCTGTAACTGTGACTGGACCACGTTATGTTCACACGTTGGAGAGCTTCTTAGCTCCTGGACTTGCTCGTCTTCCAGTAGAGGAAGAGACGTTTTTCCAGCAAGATGGAGCTATGTGCCACACCGCACGAGCTTCCATTGCAGTTGTGAATAACCTGTTTCCTAGCAATGTTATCTCCAGATATGTGGACACCATATGGCCAACCTGGTCACCTGATCTTTCCACATGTGATTTATTGTCTGAGGGTATCTAAAATCCCAAGTTTTCAAAGCTCCAGCACCCCACACAATTCAGGAGTTGAAACATCGAATTCGGAAAGAAGTTGAACAAATTCCCATAGGGATGCTGCAAAGAGTAAAGACTGACTTTAGGAAGAGACTTACTGAGTGCCTCCAGGAGAATAGGAAGAGACTTACTGAGTGCCTCCAGCAGAATGGTGGTCATCAGTCGGATGCTGTTTTTGGGAAATAGACTTCTGTTGTCATTGAGTTAATTAAGAAATAACAAATGCTTTTATGTTTACACTATATTAATATGTGTTAAAACTAAATAAAGGCAATAGTTTACTAATAATAACGATTTTAAAATCGCCCGATTCATGGACGCATTCTATATATATAAAACACGTAACAATTGTATAACATGATATACACCGCTACTACAAATGATTCATTCCATTTCAGAACATTATATTGGTCGCCCCTTGCTTTTCCACAGTATTACACAGACAAGCACTAGCCTTAAACTACCGATACCACTGCAGAATCCTCTGTTTACATGTTTCTCTGCTCTGAATGCACGCTGCACTGCAATAACAGAAGAACATCTTGCATATTCCAACACACAGAAACTCATTTCAAGCTTCGTCGCCATTTTGTGAGGCACTGCATTCGTGCTACCAACTGGTGTATCACGATGCAAACTTTGTGAGTTTGCGGTTCTTTTCTGTGCTGTGCTCTGAATGCACGCTGCACTGCAATAACAGAAGAACATCTTGCATATTCCAACACACAGAAACTCATTTCAAGCTTCGTCGCCATTTTGTGAGGCACTGCATTCTTGCTGCCAACTGATGTATCACGATGCAAACTTGGTGAGTTTACGATTATTTTCATATATCAATCATATTTGTATGTATAATACTTTGGAAAATATACTGTTTTGAAATGGAATGAATCATTTGTAGTAACTCTGTATAATATGAGCCATTGTGGATGTCATAACATTTCTGCAGATCTTTATTTCTGAACATTTCAGGAAAACATACCATGAAAATTACTGTTCAGTTCTGAACGAGATCTGCAAACTAATGAACCCTGTATCGAGCACTCTTTGAAAGTAACGTGAACGCATTCATAAATGCGTTGAACATCACAGTGGAGACATCTGCTGAGGAACGGAGGACTTCTCCAGGCAGCGAGCTGTCACGTTGACGCTTTAAGATTTCTGACCGTTTCCAAAAGTGTTGCTAAGGAAACTGCTTACAGCCTTAAGGACTGATATCGGGATCTGTAACACACAAAAATAAACATCTGGCAAAGAAGAAACAACCCAATGATTGATTCTGAAGGGCTCTGGCTGTGGTACGGGGCTTGTTACCAGTGGGAGCCAGAATAACTTAGTTTAGACGGCCGGGGTTCGATTTCCGGCAGTGTGACACGTGACGATTGTCTAGAAAATGTGTCAACCTCGGTGTCTCATAGCCCTAGTGGTCTTCACGGCCTATTACAGGGATAGCTTTAACTTTCTAAAGGCGCCGCCAGGGACGGCTGTCAGAAACTTTGTTTACAGTGTTCGCTTATGTTTTCCTGATCGTCTTTAAGTATACAGATTAGAAGAATATTGTCGCAATTTGGAGATGTGACAGTACGTGGTTTTGGATTGGTGAATAAATTTATTGACCACTTATACAAACCACCTGGAACTGCAAGTAATTACAGCTCTATTTCTGATCTCCACACTTCAAAAATCAACATAGCGCCTGCTAAGGCTTTTCCAGTCTGCTGTGTCTTCACTAGCCATTTCCTGGCAATGGTTTCTAACACTGGAGGTTCTTCTGTTTCACGCGCTCGGTCCTATCTTCACAATCCCCCCTGCAGAGCTCTTGTCAACAGTCAACTCAACTATAGCGCCATACCTTCTCAGCCTCCCCTGCAGAGCTCAACTGACTGGTTGCCCCAGTTCTCTTCTTTATAATTCCTCGGCGCGGACCGTGTAGACAACACCCGTTTCCCCAGTTACATGTGTAGCCGTTGCCGCGGAAACATGTTTACCGAGCAGTAACTTTGTTACTTACCAGTTTTCCTTTGAGGTCCCTATAAAGCAATGGGTCTATATGCCACAAAAAAAATGTTAAGCAATTTTAATTTTTAGTATTAATATTTGGAATATTTCCTCCTGGTTTTCGAGCAGGACGGGCATGAGGTAAGACGCTAGACTTGTATTCATGAGACACTTTGTTAGAATCTCGACGGGGCAGTGGCTAACCTGACTGAGGTTTTGAGTGCCCTTATTCAGTCTTTCCAGGGAAATACCCGGAAAAGCACTTTGACTAGGCCATGACGACTTCCTGCATAACTTTTCTGATTCTCCAGTCATCATACCATCCGACTCTGTATAATCTGTAAAACAAACAAACAAACTCCGTGGCCTGTAATCCGCAAGCGAACTATACCAACCGAGCGACCGCCGCTTGTCGGCGAAGTTAGTGCAAAACGGAATGTGGTGCCCCTCGTGTTTCTGAAAACCCATGAAATGGCGACAGCCGAATTGGCATCGCCTAGGTATTTTTTGTATATACATTTATTTTTTCAAAATCAGAAATTGTTTTAAATCCGTAGCAACGCATGGTTCTCCATCTCCCTAGCAGATGGTGCTGCTTGCCGTCCCAAACTAAAGTGCTATACGAGTGTAGGTGTTCTCACGACTGTCTCCTGTGTTATGAGTAATTACCTGAAATACGTCGTTGATGAACTTGGAAAAGCCGTTGGGAGATGTCGCTATCGGAGGCGCTCGCGTGATATGTACTTTGTTCGGGGCGGGCGATGACGTCACCTGTTGAGTCGTGGTTTTCTGTGTGATGGGGTCCGATTTCTGCAAATACAAGTGTCCTTTTACAATTATGTCAGTTTAGTCTTAAGTTTGCAATTTACGTTTGTGTCTATCTATCTATCTATCTATCTATCTATCTATCTATCTATCTATCTATCTATCTATCTATCTATCTACCCATCCACTCATCCATCCATCCATCCCTTATAGGGGATCGCGATAGCATATTGGGTTGAGGCACTATGCTACAAGCCGGAAGGTCGCGGGTTCGAATCCCGATGAGGTGGAGTTTTTTCAATTAACCTAATCCTTCCAACCGCACTATCACCCTGCGGTCGATCCAGCCTCTGACAGAAATGAGTAACAGGAATCTTCCTGGGGGTAAAGGACTTGCGGTGCGTAAGGCTGACAACCTCACCGCCATCTGTGAGCCGATTGTCTAGAGAAAATGTGTTAGCCTCGACGTCTCACAAACATATGGGACTCCACGGCGTGTAATTTTTTTTTTTTACCTTAGTAGCTCTGAGGCCTACATTAACTTTCGTGCTTCTTCTGAAATTTCTTTTGACAGAATATGACTGAAATTTAAATAACTGCAAATATTAGGTTCTTTGTACGAGTACCAACGTGTAAGTTTCATTTGTGTTAATTCTCAAGGAACATTTTATTACAGGCCTGACCGGACTTTTACATATGTACTTCCTTTAAATTGTTGGCAGATATTAATAGAGTTTTAAGTCCTACTTTGACTTGCTCTGAGTCCCATATTGGGCCTATTTAAGGGTCCAAAACGGTTAATTAGTGTGTCTTGCTAAATTTTAATCTGAGTCAGACAAATGTGGAACAAAAACTCTAGGTCACACTTATTCAAAAGGTACGTAAGGTCCGTGGGTCGTACAGTACTTGCATAAACCCACGAATATCTCCACGCAGTAACATTGTAGTAATATTCCGTGAGATAATAATTACATTGTGCTCCGAAAGAGCGCCGCACGCGCTAGTTCCAGGCATTACAAATTCTTCCGATAGATGGTTCTGCCAGTAAGAATCTCTCTGCTGTTTGTTGCCATTTTCATGAAGAATGCTTATTTATGACCTTCTTGAAACCTGTATTTTCTAAGGAGTGCTAACTTCTGGGATGTAACACCGTGCAATCCGTTGAAAATCAAAGGCCGTTTCGGAGGGTCATGTCGCTTCCAGAGGAGAGTTCAGCTTTCCCCCTGCTTTCACGTTGGTCTCTTGCTTGGTTTATTCTTAGACGCAGAAGACTGAGGCTACATAAAATCAACCCCGTGTGGAGGCGGGGTCGAATACGTCCAACGTGACCCCGGGAGTCGTAGGAGGCGACGAAAGAGGAACCCGGTGTCTTGGGGTATAACTGGAACACCCTTTTCCTGGGGGGATATAAATACGGGAACCTGGCCTTCCAATTTGAGGGAGTCTTAGAATATGAGAGAGTAAAATTTGGTCATGAGTCCCGAGGGACTCGTACCCGAGAATGACTAAGCTGGCGAGAGCCAGCAGCAATTGTAAACGACAGACCCATCCTCCTGTAAGAGAGAAAGTTATATAAGGATTTTAACCTCAAGAATTTAGTTGAAAATATTACTGGTCGTGGGTCTCAAGGTGCTTGTCGCCAAGAAGAACCGCCAGTCGTAAAGTATTTCTGAGCTTACATGTTCCTCCGAAACATGGGTCGACTTTCAACGGATTATACGGCCTTATATCCCAGCAAATTGAAGTCTCATAACGACCGCTATGAGAACCTACATTCCTGCTGTATTTTGTACGTTTTCGTTGCTGGATACTATGATTCCATTTTGAATGGGTGAACCTGAGTTCTTCTTAGTCGTTAATATATTAAGAAGGCGTTGTCAAAAGCGTTATCTTGTCATATAGCACGTATATGTACCTGAACAACAGACAGACGCCACGCGTAAACAGGAAGAAAAATTTTAATACCATCCAAAAGGNTCTTTTGTACGTTTTCATTACTGGATACTATGATTCCAATTTTTAGCCGCCTCCGTAGTCTAGGGGTAACGTTCCTACCTCATGACTCAACGTACGCGGTTTCAAACCCGGCGGAGGTAGTGGAATTTTTAAGGGCGGAAAAATTAGGCAAAAAGTTTCCCGCCCAAGTAGTTTCCAATGCCTCTGGTAGATGGGGGAAGCATCAGGTACCACGTGCCAGAAGAGGGCCGACCTCGCTGGCAAAGTGGGGCTGATAGCAAAGCACCAGTACCGGTAGGGTATGGGGACAGTAGAAATTAAAGGGGGACGCACAATGGACCAATGACTGGTCTAAGTGCATGGGGAAACCCACCCCCTCTAATAATGAATGAATGAATGAATGAATGAACGATTCCAGTTTGAATGCGTGAACCTGAGTTCTTCTTAATCGTTAATATATTAAGCATGCGTCGTCAAAAGCTTTGTCTTGTCATATAGCACGTATATGTACCTGAACAGCAGACAGACGCCACGCGTAAACAGGAAGACACATTTTATTACCATCCAAAAGGATACATTTTCCAGTCCTAGTTAACATTGACCTTTGTTTCATGTTTTTTTGTGCCGTCAAGCAACAAACTTGGGTTAAAATGGAGTGCAATAAAACAATCGAAAGAGAATATTAAGTCTGTTTATTATAATAATCACATTATATGTTTCTCTAAAGCTGGCCATAATTATAAACAGTGTCACGTAACTTCGAACCAGGCCCCGCATTCCTAGTCAAGTCCCGCGCATAGCTTGTGGTGGGAGGAGTTTCTTAACACTCGTTCTTCCATTGGCCGCCTGTCACTTCTCACACCCTCCACTCCCTTGTCTGAAATTTTTCTTCTGCGCATTCAAGGTTACTGTTGGCCTTGTTCGAAGTTACGTGATACGGTCTATAAGTGTCTATAAATGATAGACTGAAACGTGTAGTGTGATTCCTACAATAAACTGACAGACATGCTGTTTGAGTTGAGATTGAGTGTACAGATTTCAAACTTTTTATCGAGAAAATAAACAGAGCCGGAAGAGTACGAATTTTACCATGCAACAGCGGAAATTTTTAAGTTTTACTTAAGATAGCCATCGCCCAAACTGTGGAAGGAATCGTGTCTTAAATTTGTGAGAAAGCTTTCAGGACATTTGAATACCGGATGAATTTTGTAACAACAAAATTGGGAGCTCAGGTTGAAGTGCAGTGAAATGCAGAAAGGTGGGGAAAGATACTTTTTGAGTGGTCGTTTCATATGATGAAATCTGTAGTCACCTAGCTGTGTTTATTTTCTAATTAAAAAGTTTAAAATATGTGCACTCTTTCTCGGACATCCAGCATATGATACAGTCGTTTTATTATTATTATTTATTATTCACTAACGAAACCCATGTTGTTGTGTGACGGTATAAACGTATAAACAACAACACGCGAAACATAAAAATAATTGGCTCTCATTCAAGGATAGCCTTCTCCTTTTGCGTCATGCGGGGAACAAACACATCCACCGTGTAATTTTGTTTTGGGGGGGGGGGCACTGTACCTGCAAACGGACTGTCCTCTCACCTGAGGTATTATGTTGTCAACCTCATTGTTTGTTTCTTCGGGCAGCGGACCCGCTGCTACAGATGTGAGTATCATGATGGCCACCAGCAGCGCTGCTGTTTCTCGTAACGGTGACATTCTCTCGACCTGTTCAAAACAATTACATTTCAGTTTTACTTTATAGTGATCGTAGTGAAAGAAGTGCGAACCAGGAAGAAACTGAAATGAAATGTCTAGAGGTTTCGGCGGGATAGCTCAATTGGTATAGATACCAGCTATGGCAGAGGGTAAGAACTTCTTCTCTGCTCCACAGTGTCTAGACCAGTTCTGGGGCCCACACAGCCTCCTATCCAATAGGTACCAGGGGTTTTTTTCTCTAGGGATGAAGCGGGTGAGGCGTGAAGCTGACAATTCACCTCCATCTAGTGCCGAGGTCAAGAATGGTGGAGCTATACCTCTACTCCACATACGTCTTCATTGCGTGGTGCTTAAATAATTAAGCACAAAGACAAAGTTTTAGCTTTGATCTGTTGCTGAATTATCAGTTCTTTATCAAGGTCATTTTAGCCTGCTTTTCGTATTTTGAAGAAATAAAAAGGTGGCTTGAGATATCACTTTATTCACCGTCTATATATTCATGTATGTCTCTCTGCGTATAAACCTGTATCTGTCAATCTGTGTTTCCCCCTAATTTTTGAGCCTCATAAAACGCAATTGTACTTTGTCTATATAACTCCCCACTAAATTTTTAGGTGGCTTATGAGGTCATCTTGTCGTGCAGCTCGCGCGCCGCCTAATTTTTTCGTTTTCTGTGGGATCCGTGCCGTATCAAAGGAATAAGTTGACTACTTATTCCTATAATTTCATGTTTTTAAAAGCAATTATGAAAGAGTTTCTAACTAACAGAAACTAACAATGAGCAGGTTGGAAAAGCTGTGGCTCTCTTAATTTGTACGTATTCTGGAGGTTCTCGGTTTGAATCTTTTCGGAACCCCTTTTTTCCTTCTTTTTTTTTTTCCTTGGCACTACAGCCCAAGTGGGCGTAGGCCTACCTCCATGAACTTCCGTTCACTTCGGTTTTTCTAGATCTTACACAGACGGTAGGACTCCTTGGGCTGGTGATCAGCTCGTCGCAAGGCCTATATCTGTAGACAAACACAGAAAAACGCACACAAACATCCATGCTCTGAGTGGGATTCGAACCCACGATCCCGGCTTCCGAGCGAGCGAAGACAGTGCATGCCTTAGACCGCTCGGCTACCGTGACCGTCCCTTTTGTCCTTATTGAAGTCAAATTTCTGGTTACGCAGGAGGTGCTGAACATTTATTGTGACTTTTAAGGGATTGTCAACAATTCCTCTGGTGCACGGAACAGTTGTCTGACTGAAAATTTCTCTTGTTGCGTGATGTGGCGGCAGGGAGGCAGAGTTTTGCACCAGGAACTGCTCGGAGACTTGCGTTACGATTCAGGAAGCAAAGTTTTGTGTGTAGGCAAGAGCTAAGTCGAAACTGAATAGTAATTTACACGAGGAAATAAACGATCAAATGGCGAGTAAGACCCACACAGATTAATAGCCTGTTTGAAATTAAAGTGTACTGCCTAACTGTGTTTGACATAAGGATTTTCTTTCTCCTGTAGCGAAAAGAAAGTGGAGGATATGATACTAAAGACAAGTGACCGCCTTGTTCAGACAAGGTAAAGGTAAAGTTGTTCTTGTGCTTAAGTAATTAAGTACTAGGTCATGAAAGCGTATGGAGGAGTGGATGTATGGATCCACATTTTCTTGACCTCGACACTAGTTGTAGGCAAGTGGTTAGCTTCACACCACGACAGCTTTACTCCTGGACAGAGTGCCCCGGTACTCATTGGATAGGAGGTTGGGTTGGCTCCGGAGCTGGACTGGACGATATGGAGGAAAGAAGATACTTGATCATACCGGTACTCGAACTCTGACACCTCAGTCGTCCAGCCCGCCGCCAGTCGCTATGCAGACTATGCTATCTCTGACT